TATTCTAGTGGAGAAGACCAAAATTAAAGTGGATTAAATACTGAGGTGATGAAAATGATAGGGGCAGAATTAAATCAAAAACAATAAAAACCCTACAAACCTATATATTCAAAAATCCCTGGTGAGCACATTTGATAACTTAGATGAAATGGATATATATTTTAAAGACACAGCCTATTAAAACTCATACAAGGAGGAATAGATACTCTGAATTGGCCTGTAACTCTTAAAAAAATTGAATCAATAAGCAATAACCTCTAAAACATAAGGCAACCTGGCCCAGATGATTTACTCTACCAAACATTTAAAGGAGAAATTATAAGTATACTTTATAATCTGCTCCAGAAAAAAATAGAAGCAGAAGGAATACTTCCTAACTCATGAGGCCAACATTACTATAATATCAAAACCAGACAATCATAACGGAAACGGCAGTAATTTACTTTGTGGACACTCACAAAGTGATTCTCAAGTTTATATGGAAACACTAGAGAGAGAAAATAGCCAATTTTGAAGGACAAAGTCAGAGGACTACCACTACCCACTACCCACCTTCAGGAAACTGGCATTGGCAAAGAATAGATAAACAGATCCATGGAAAAAGAATAGCGAACTGAGTCACCTGAGCAAACAAGTCAAAAGGGAAAGGATAACCTCTTCAAAAAATTTCTAGGACAGCTGGGCATACACATGAAGAAGAATGGTACAGAAGAATGTCACAGATGTGACTTTACATCTTTTGCAAAAATGAACTCAAAATGAATCATAAACATGCATGTAAAACACAAAATTAAGATATCTCAATGATAACACAGGGAAAAATCTGAGGGACTTTGGTTTAGATGATGAGTTTTTTAAGAGATGATACCAAAAGCACAACCCTCCAATGAAAACATTTAAAAGTTGGATTTCATTAAAATTAAAACCTTCACAACAGGACAAGGCCTTGTGAAGGGAATGAAAACACAAATTAGACTAAAGAAAATATTTGCAACACACACATGTGATAAAGAACTTGTACAAAAAATACGAGCCCTGTAGGATTTATAAGAGTTTAAGAACTCTTAAAAGTCAACAATTAAAAAAACCAAACAACCCAATTAAAAAGTGGGCAAAAGATCTGAACAGTCACATTACCAATGGAGACAAACACATGGCAAATGAGCACATGAAAAAAATGTCCAAGGTCATTACTCATGAGGGAACTGCAAATTAGAGTGAGACTACTGCAAACCTGTCAGAATGGTTAAAATCCAAAACTCTGGATTTATTGACACTTGTAGCCCAGAATATGGTCTACCTTGATAAATGTCCCATGTACACTTGAGAACAATAAATTGTACTGTAATAGTTGTAGTGAAAATGTCAACTAGATCAAAGTGGTTCAGAGTGTTCAGCAGACATATTTCATTTTAATTTTTGTCCCTGTGTCTTTTTTCTCTGACTGCTTTTAAGCTTTTCTGCTAATCATTGATCTTGAGCAGTTATGATGTGCGTTGAAATTTTCTTCATATTCTTTTAGTTTGTGTCTGTGTAATAATACCTATCACCATATTTGGAAACATTTCATTCACTATTTCCTCAAATATTTTTTTTCCTGCTCAGACTTCCATTTTAGGAATGCACAGTTCATTGACACTCTGGTTCATGTTTTTCTGGTTTACTTTTCTTCAAGTGTTTCATCTTAGATAGTCTGTATTGCTGTCTTCAATCCACCAACCTTTTATCTTTATACATCCTTGCTTGCCAATTCTATTGTCCATGTCGTATCTGAGGTTCATTTTCCACCTTTTTGCAGAATTTCTAAGTTTTGACTGAATTTTATACACTGTAAATTTTACAGTGTTGGGACCTGGATATTTTTGTATTTCTAAAAGAACTTTTAAGCACTGCTCTGAGAGTTAATTAGTTTACAAAGTGTGATAACTTCAAAGCTTGCTTTTAAGATTTGTAAGGTATGACTGCAGGTAAATTTTGGTCTAGGACTAATTGTGTTTCCCAATACTGAGTACTTCTAAGTATTTTCTACCAAATGTGCAAATTTTGAGTTTCTGAGTCTTACTGGTGCGAAGGCATATTGTTGGTGCTGTGTAAAGTACAAGCATTGTTCCTTCCATGTCTTGAAGGCTTTTTTTTTTTTTGCACTCAGTAGTTTTAAAATAAAATACAGTCCTTTCTATCATTCACAAAACAATTAAAGACACAGTTCCTACTTGCCTCTCAAATTTCAGTTCTGTGACTCCATTCATTCTTCTCCTGTGTTCTAAACATAAACATTTGCATCTCTGCTTTGTACCAAATTTCACCTAAAATTCTTTGTATATGTAGTTCACTCTGTTTACAACGGTCTACTTCCTTCTCCCTTCCTCTCTCTGCATCCATCTCCAATTCTTTAGGCTCTTAAGATTCAGTTCAAACATCTCCTCCAGGAAATATTTCCATATTCTCCAGTCTGTTTCTGATATATGCTTTTATTCTACTCCTCTGGTCATATATATTCAGAAACCGAATGTATTCTAATTTATTCTAAAAAGATAATTATTGAATTATCTTTTTGATAATTATCTTTTGACCCAAGTAAAAGGATTGCAGGCAAGCCTTAAGAACCATAAGGAGGGAGTCAAATGCCTCAGGATTCCTTCTTGTTGCCTTCTCTATGTCTTGTCTCCTCTTCCTGAGCCCTGAATCCTTTTATCATCTCTTTCCTCTAAGCATTTCATCTATTCTCTCCTTTGCCTATCTGGTTTACTCTTCTCCTTTCTGTAGAATAATTTTCTTTTTTACCATTTCAGTCATCGTCAGCTCCTGAATTTTGTACCTTATGATATTCCAGAGATCTAAAGACAGACATATTTGTATTTTTCAAATTCAGCTCAGATATTTCCTGGAAAGGACAGTGATGGGCCCTAATTAGGGCAGCTGCCCACTGACTCAATCAGGTGGAGCCGAATGGCAGGGTCCTGCCATCACATGTCTGTTCTTATAATAAGGTGGACTGAAAGTGAAGGGATGTGGAAGTGGCAGTTACCCAATATGGGGTTCAGAGCAGATGACCCTAGTGCTGGCAGCTTTTAGAACCCTATGAATAGTTACATAGGAACCTTTTTGTTCTCAAAATTGTTCCTTTATGGTGAAACTGTGCCTTTCATCAACACAGTTGATGATTAAACAGGGTAACACATAACAATAAATATCTTCGTTAAACCAGAGACTGAAACAAGTGGAAATGCTGACATGATATTATAAAACATAAGTTAGGAATGAGAGTCTTTGTTGACAGCCCATATTCCACTGCTGATGGCAGGCCAGGCACTTAATTTTTCTAGACTTCAGTTTCCTCTTTTGTAGTAGTCATACTCCAAAGGATTGCATTGAGATTTAAATGAGAAAGTACCTGTGAAAGCACCTTGAAAAAATTAAAATCTCTCTATAAATATAAGGTAGATTTACTATTACAGTAACCACAAACATTCAAGTATGAAATTTAAGAAATAAGACAGAAAATAATAGGGATACAATTACAAAGAATGCCAGCATAACTCAAAATGAAGACTTTCAAATAACCAAAGCTTTCAGAAATATGCATTTTGAATTACAAATTTCTTTTGCTTTGCCAAGGGAAAAGTAGATTTTTTTTATTAGAATCTATGTACCATAGCATATGATTAAAGCTCAACATAAAGTAAAATGTATAGACTGAGGAAGAAGACACTTTTGGCTTTAGGATTTTATTTTTTGCTAATTTATGTGGCAATTAAAGTTCTTATGTTTTATGGAGATATTGCTTTCTGACTAACATACTTAAAAATGGATATAGGCGATATATAGCCTCTATGAGAGAATTATTCAATCCAGCATGAAGATCGAATGAGACAGTAGGTGTGAAGATACATTCCAAATGATAACATACTACGTGATGAGAGACGACTGGGTGCCTTAGTCTATAGGCAAAGGCACAGATGCTTAGTACCAGACGGGGAGTTTGGAGAGTCTCGAAAGAACTAATAGGAACATTCCTGATGATTCCTGCACAATCATAAAGACCAATGATATTATACAATCCTTTGAGCATTTTATTTTTTTAATTAAATTGAGGTAATATTTAGATACCTCCATCAGCTATTACCACCAGAATGCGCCACCACCACATCACCCTGTCCACTACCATAGCCCACTGTGCTTCCTTTTCTTTGTTCTCCCTCCATGGTCCTTCCCCCAAGGCTTGGTGCTTCAGTTCTATAGTCAGCTATCAAGGATTAGTTTTTAAATTTATCTGTATCTGACTCTTAGTTTCGTTACTTTATAGTCCACATATTAGTGACACCATCCAGTATTTCTCTTCCTCTTTCTGACTTGCTTCATTTAGCATTATCTCTACCAGTTGCATCCATATTACAGCAAATGCCATGACTTTATTTATTTCTTTGATAGCTAAGTAATATTTTTTATTTTTCAATGACTATGTACTAAGTAAAGTGCATTGAAGGATAATATCTGTTTCTGACCCAAAAATGTTCACAGATATTTCTAAAAACAGACCTTTGTGCATTTCCAGTATTCTCCTTTGATGAAGTTGGAAAGGTTCGGGTCTTTTTGTCTGGGGGGACAAAAAGGCCTACAAAGGCTTTAGAGAGAAAGCTAGCTAGATCTACAGTAGGGAATGAGTCGTCTTAGGATGGTTAGATAACCTATTTAACAACCAGTGATTAAGAAATGACTATATTAACTTAATTTTTAGGTCATCTCTTTTAATCTAAAAAATAAAATCGGCTTGAGCTGTAGGTATGTGCCAGGCAAACCTGTGTTCCCATGTTCAGAATATTCACAAGGTGACAGTCATAGATAGTAAATGCCAAAAATTAGCTGTATTACGCTTGACACTCATTTCAACATTAGTCCAATTTGCTGTTACTTATAAATAACTAAAGTATTAGCTGAAATTGATCAATACTGAAATCCACCCCCTGCCCAAGCATACCCCAGCTTCACCAATAACTCACCTGTAAGATTCTTTGCAAGATTGATGGAAGGGCAATAAATGAGGCCATGCTGTTTAACACTTGCATGGTCAAAGATTTCAGAGCTGTTATAATAAAATGTTAAAATTAAAATCAATTTAAATAAGTTATTTTGATCTGTCTACAAACCAGCAGTTAATAGTAGACTTATATAGTTTCTGAGGAGTTTCATTAACCATGGCCATATTTTAAAGTTAACTGATGATAAGTTGCAAAGTTATTCTTATTCATGACAAATGATATATGAGTGGTGACGCTATTGAAAGAATGAAACCTGAAAGATGAGACTACTACATTATCACTTCCCTAAGGGGAAAAAATAAATGATACTAGGAAAAGGTACCAATGATTTTTAACAGGTAAAAGTTGGGTGATGGTACAGGTAGACTCTGATGAACTTACCTTCAGAGTGGAGAGGAGGTACAGCTGAACTACACAGCTTCTGAGGGGCCATCATTGCTTCCAACAATGGAAACCAGAGTGCCTATTATAACATCAAAGGAAAACAAATTAGAAAACTAAAAGAGAGAACACCTGACTGGGAAAAGACAATGAAAAGAGGGATCACAGCCAGAACAGTTATCTTTACCAGGTGGCCTATGGAGAAAAAAGGAAGCCCCAAGTCTTTCAGTTTAAGTCTAGACCTTAGAATTGCAGTCTTCTGTGTATTGGGAGAGAGTGGGTTCAAAAGGACCAGGATAGAGCTTCCTGCTTAAGTTTTTTATTCTCTGATTATAAATATATTGCTGATAAAGTCTAAATACCCTGTGTACTGCAGAAGAGAACAAACATCCTCGTGACAGTGGTGCCCTCATTTCTCTTCAGTCGTGTTTTGCAAGATAAATGAATAAAAGGCTATTCAAAGTTTTTTCCCATATCATACATTATTTTTATTTCCTAAGACATTATAATCCTGAAAGTTAACATTATTTCAGTTAACATATTTATAACTATATAATGAGATAAATTAGAAGATTTTCTTATTCCTACTGTGTCATGTACTTTTTCCAATGCTTTATACATATATTTTCACTTCGGTCTCCAATAACCTTATACAATTTGCATTACCTTCACTTGAGATAAAAAAAAAACAAACCCTGAAGTTTAGAGAAACTATGTAATTTGCTGAAGATCACCCTGCCAATAAAACTGGTTGCGGTATAAACAGGCAGATATACAAATACAGGGCAGTTAGATCGAACTTGGCTAAGTATTGACAAAGCAATTTTCTGATGTGGAACTTTAAGGAAATACTCCATAACATTAAATCTTCTAATAAAAGCAGGAGAAAGAAATGTTATAGATAGTTAATTATCAAGCCTTGGGATACTTCAAAATTTTTTTTTAAAGATTTATTTATGTATAGAGAACCGGGGTACAGGCCAGAGGTATGGGGGTGAGAGGATTCACCAGAGACAGAGTGGGGAGCAGAATAGGCTAACTAACTAAGTACACTGCTGAGGGGAGCAGCGGACGAGACTGGAGAGGTCTGCCACGCCATGTGGATCACCTCTGGGGCGGGGATTGAACTCATGCTGAAGTGGCTTTAGCTTCTTAATGCTACGCTTTAACCCGCTGCGCCACCAGGGAGAGCCCAGGATACTTCAACTTTTAAAAATTATTTTTAGGGCCCAGCAATTTCACTCCTAGGAATGTACCCAAAGGACACAAATGAAACCTATACTTCTATGTTTACTGCAGCACTTTTTACAAACGGTATGGAAACAACCTTATTAACCCAAAACAAATGAAGAAAAGAAGTTGTTGTATATGTAAACAGTGGAAAGCTACTACTCAGTGATCAAAAAGTTAAACTCATGCCATTTGTGGCAACAGTAATAGAGCTGGAAGGGATTATGCTAAGTGAAACAAGTCAGGGGAAAAAAGATAAATATTGGATGGTTTTACTTATATGTGGAATACAGAGAACCCAAACAAAGTGTCAGGGAAAAAAGGAAGACAAAACTTGCAAACTGGCCATAGACCTGCTTAAGCATACAGCAGGGGAGGTAGGTAGAAAGGGATCAAAATAGGGGATGGAAGAACCAAAAGGACTAAGGTGATGGTGCCCTGGTGAACTGGTGATAGGCTAACTACAGGAAACACAATGTGGGGAGAAATCAAATACTATCCCCAAATTAACTAAGATGGAAAAAAATAAAAAATTAAGTCTAAAAAGACATAGCATCTTTAAACTTAAAAAAATTATCAAATAATAAAAACTAAATAAAATTTTCACTCAAACAAATTTCAACACCTAATATCTTTACTAAAGCAGATTCCAGAAAAGAAAGACAAACACTGGATGGTGTCATTAATATGCAGAATATAGAGAGACCAACTAAAGGTCAGATAAAGATAAGCTTGAAAAACTGACCCTTGAAAGCTGACTATAGAACTAGACAGGGAGGAAGTGGGGAGGAGGGAGTTAAGAACAGAGAGGGAAGAAAGCACAATGGACTGTGTTGGTGGACTACGGTGATGTAGTATTGGCAATACCTGCTGAGGGAGAATCCTAAAATCACCTCAAATAAAAAAAAATTTAAAAATTCCAACTCAGATTAATTTTTTTGACCAAAAAAAAAAAACAAAGAAAAAAATTCTATTTAACATAGAAAGTCTTGTTTCTATCTCTGAGAGACAAATCTCATGTAAGATCAGAATGATCTACAGAGTTCTGAGGGCATGAGCTTTATGTAAATTTCTACTATTAATATTTGTGAATCTGGATAAATTCAGCTTATGTGAGCCTAAACAACTGTATTTATTAAGTATATAGACATTTTACCTTAAATTTTCCATGAAACCACACAAGAGTGTCAAGTAGATATTATTTAGGCAGTATATGGAAGAATTGAAAAATAAAAATGGCTTAGTGTTAAATATGTATAATCACAGCTTTAAGAATTCTACCCTTTGTGTTTCTCTATCAAAATGTCACTATACCCATATAAAGATAAGTAATCAAAAGAGAAATGAAAATATAGCATTAAGAATGGAAAAATCATGGCAAAAGGCTGGTATAAAGTCCATAATCCATTTAAGTAAAGACTAAAAAACTATGGAAATTATGGGTACAGGAAAAAAATGTGTTACTAACCTTCCTGAGGTAAAATAGCATAACCGGTTAAAAATAAAAAGGGGGATAGAGAAGTTGGAGTAAGTATGAATTCATTTCTTACTGATTTGGCATCATAAATATTAAAAAAAAACTGAAGTGCAATTATAAGCATACATAATTCCATACATACATAATAATTCCAACCTATTACAGCTTTGCAAGGTTTTTTTTTTTTTTTTTTTTAAAGATTTATTTATTTGTGCATAGAGAACTGGGGTATACAGGCCAGAGGCTCAGAGGCGGTGAGAGTCTTCACCAGAGACAGAGCGGGGAGCAGAACAGGCAGATGGACGAAGTACACTGCTGAGGGGAGCAGCAGGCGGGTCAGGAGAGGTCTGCCACGCCATGTGGTCTCCTCTGGGGCAGGCGGGAATCGAACTCATGCGGAAGTGGCTTTAGCTTCTCAGTGCAGTGCTTTAACCCGCTGCGCCACCAGGGAGGGCCAGGTTTTTTTTTTTTTTTTAACTTTAGTGAGATTTATTAAGAGATTGTGTGGTGAAGAAATATTCAGTTGAAATTCTGAAATTCCTCACTTTTATGTTTCCTAAATGAGATTGAGCCTTACATTTTAAAAAGTGAGCACACTTCACTCAATTTTTCTAAAATTATGCCAACTGAGGCAGATAAAAAAATATCTAGAGTGATGTTGAGCAAATGACAGCGATGATTATTTTTGGGTGACAGGATGGATGCACAGCAATTTCTCAAAAACTGTGTAATTTTACTGCTGGTGGACTACGGGTGATTTGGTGATGGGTGGACTACAGTGGCAATACTTGATTGGGGAGAATCCTAATATTACCTCAATTAAAGAAGCTTAAAAGGTCAGGTATACATCATTTCATACACAAAAAGTTTCTATAATAAGGAAAAAAATCTTATCGGTTATATAAATGTTTATTGTACACACTTTATATTCTCAGGTTTTTTCCTCCCAAATATGTGACCTTAAAATTTTTTTAACAAAATTGTAAAGGAGAAATTCACCCATCTCATAAAACAGAAAATATACCAACTTTATTATTTCTTGGTAACATGCGTAGCTAAATGTAAATGAAAAATTTACCCTGCCTTCCCATTTCAGAAACAAGCAGTAGAAAGAGGCCAGAGCCTGGAAGTGCAGGCACTGAAGCGATAACCCAGATCATGCTTCAACTTAAGCGTCTAAAAACTATTGCAGAATTTGGCTGTCAAGTCACATCTCGCCCCCTTAGTTTCTGCTTCATTGCTCTAACTCCCACCTGCTCCAGGTGCTCGATTCTATCTCCCTTGGCTTTGTGTTTTTGCCTTTTTTTGCAGTGGCCCCAACCTTGGCTGCAGAGTGTATACATGTGGGAAGATCCCAAACATGCTGATGCCTGAGTCCCAGCTTCAGAGCCTTTCATTTATTTGATCTGGGCTACAGTCTGAGTACTGGGATATTTCAAAGCTCCCAGATGGCTCCAATGCGCAGCCATGGCTGAGAACTACTTATCACAGACCTTCTTGAACTTTTCCAGCTTTCTCTGTATCCCTTGTGGGTTTTTCTCTACTTTTCATGCTCACTTTCATCCACAGGGAATAGAAGAGATGATAAATGACGACACATGCACAGGAGCAATACATGGAGTGCAGAAAGTCTCAGTCCAAAGAGAACAAGGAAGGACATTGAGTATTCACACACCTAAGCAGTGCAGCACAGCCAAATCTAAGGCTGGAAAGCCTTTTATGAGAAACAAAGAGGACAGACTCTCCTCATAATAATGCCAGGACTCTCATACTCCTGGGAGCACTAAACAGTGATTAAAATGCAGTTGAATTAAACTCAGGTGGCTGAGAGAGCCATGGAAATACAATTAATTTCTAGTTTCAGACCAGAACAGGTTTTTAAATGTGTAAGTAGCCATTCTCCTACCTCTCGTTGCTGTTGGTTCAAATTATGTGAATTTCTCTGGCAAAGGGCAATTGTTTCTACCATGGTGTCTTCAATATCTTTCAGTGAGGGACATTCTTTTGTATCTAAATTCAGAAAAATTGTTAACATTACTTAAGGATATATTACAGATAATATCAGTGCTTCTGTAAAAGTAATTGAGCTTTTTTTTTTTTTTTGCATAGACTTAGTTTTATAAATACTAGGGTTTAGTAAATTAACAAGCAGGCAATTCTGTGTGACAGTTTTCCATATAAATGTTTGACATTCATAGGATATATAAAGCACACCACATTTGGCATTTTAATATGCTTTAGCTTTGGAAAATCCACAATCATCTGTTGTGGATTAGTTAACAGAGCAATTACCTTTCTACCTTTCTTATGTTATCATTTTTCTTTCCACCTATTTCTTAAATGGAGATATTCTTCCAAGATGCTATCATAAACCCTTCTCTTTTTAATCATTTCAGTCACACTGGTAGTTTCAACTCTCAAGTCCTTGCTACTAACTTTCAAATAACGCTTTAAGTCTTTATTCCTTTCATGATTTTCCACAGATTCTAGAACATCTATCTCCACCTAGATGTCCTGCAAACACCTGGAACTTTATGTAAAACCCATTTTTCTCACTTCAAATCTGTTCCTCCCTTACCCCCACATTTCCAAACTAAATTAATAGAAACTGGATAAGTCAACCAGTTTAAAGATCTTCATCACCTTACCTCTCCTTCACCCACATATTCAAATCATCAAATTTTTGACTCTACTTCTGTACTCTTATCTGCCACGACTTTTATCCTGTGGAGCTCTTCATCACTTGGCATGGCTGCAACAGCTTCTTAATTAAGCTTTCAACTTTCAAATCTTTCCTCCTTCATTCCCTTTCATACTGTCATTAGATTAAGAAGCACAAGTCCAAACATAACAGTCATATCCACAGAAACCATCAGATTTCTAATTTTTAAAAAGAGAATGTAAGTGAATCTGACAGTAAACACAGCAGACATCTGGGTCAGCCTCTCATCCTATGTTTTATCTCACCAGATTACTTCTTACTCTCTGAGGTCACTATTCAGGCACTTTCATATTCATATTCTCCTCATATTCTTCCTTGCTCTTATCTAGGAAATTCCTTTTCATCGCTCAAGGGTTATTTCAAAAGCTGTGTCTTATACAAAAGTATTTCTAATTCAAGTTACAAATAGTCTGTAAATTTTTTACAGCACTTTGCCACACTCACTACATCTCTTTTAGAATATTTGATCATACCTGTTTGAGGTGTCTATTTCTATATCTGTCTCCTTCATGAGACCGTAATTCATTGGTGAGAACTGCTTTAGCTACCTGTATATAATCCAGAGGAACTAGCACAAGGTCTTACAACTAGTAAATTCTCTGAAATTCTTAAGCATACTTTAAAAAATTAAATATGAAAGTAAATGGCAGGCATGAGGCATTACAAAGAAATCTATCTTCACTGGAATTCAAAAACTGAAATTACTTGCTTCTCCAGACACAGCACCTGTAAACCTGTTGTGATTGTGGGCAAATGCATTTCTTACTTTTCCTTCCATTTGCACATAATGTTTGCAAAAATACTCTCATAGCAATGAATTGAAAAACAAAAATTTCATAAGTGCAGTAAATCTAACAGACTGAATGAATACACATTAACAATGTCAAAATGCCTGGTTGGACAAAATATGGAAAAATTAACCAAATGTTTACTAAGGTTCCAATAAGATTCAGTAGTGACAAATGATCAAGCTACTACACAGACCCTATCATCTTGAACCTAATCACCATTTGTCTATTAAATACATATTAATAAATAATCTACAGATAATTAGGATAAAGGTGTTTAAAGACATTTATGAACCAAAGTGTCCAAGAAAATTGTTAATGTGTTAAAGAAGTAGAACAATCAAAAAATCACCAAAAAGTGATGCTCTTAACTTTTAAAAGGGCAATTTGAAGAATATGATGGAATATGGAAACAAGAAGTCCAATTCAAATGCAGGCAGAGGACTGAAACTGATTATTTCTCCAAAGAAGTAGTAAAAATGACCAAATAAGCACAAGAAAAATGCTCAACGTCATAATAATTAGGGGAATCAAAACCATAGTAAAATACCACTTGACATCCATCCTTCAGGATGACCACTACCAAGAAAACAGAGAACGTTAAGTGTTGATGAGGAGGTGGAGAAATTAGAACCCTTGTGCATTGCTGGTGGAAATTTAAAATGAAATAGCTGCTAAGGAAAACAACATGGTGGTTTCTCAAAAAATTAAAAACTAAAATTACCATCTGAAACATATATATATATATATATAATTTAATTATGAAAAAAATAACCACTTGATCCAGCAATTCCCCAATGGGTAGGTACCCAGGAAAAATTAAAGCAGGAAGGGTGGGAGGGGAAAAAAAATTAAAGCAGGCTCTCAAAAAGTATTGATATATTCATGTTATTGGCAGTATTACAATAGTTAAAAAAAAGGTAGAAGTATGACAGGATGTGAAATATGCACACATATACATAAAACATGAAATTCTAGCACATGTTGCACATAAATCTTGAAGAGATTATGCCAAGTATAATAACCTTGACACAAAAGGACAAATTCTGCATGATTATAGTAGCCAAATTCAGAAAGTGAGAAAGTAAAATGGTGATTACCAGAGGAGGGGGAGGGAGTGGGGAAGATCTGTTTAAGGGACACAGAGTTAGAGGCTGGGATGCTGACAATAGAAAGATGACAGTTCTGGAGAGGATGACAGTGATGGTTGTACAACAATCTGAATGTATTAATGCCCTTGAACTGCACACTTAGTTGTGTTTATAATACAGCAATATAAAATATACCATTTTGACCAATTTTCTGTACACTGAACTCTATTGACAATTACTGTCCCAAAGCCATGGTTTATAGGATTTTCTAGTTTAACACTTTGTAGAGGAACTAAAATCTAGATCAATGTTAAAGTAAATAGTTATTACTATGTAGACAATATAATTGTTACTAATAAGTACATCAGACAAAACTTTTAAAGTATGGGCCAATGGAAAAATAATAAAATACACTCAAAAACTTACTTTCATCTTGATGTGTAATCTCTTGAAGTTTGCTTTGTAGTCTCTAAGGGGGCAAAAAGAATGCAGGAAATAAAAGGAACACTCTCTATTTCTACATTTGAATTAACATAATTTAAAGGAAAAACCTCAAGAATCAAGATTATTAAGAATAGTCTCTTACTGTCTCTCAGAAGAGAATTCCTAGGTACAGAGAAAGCACAGTTAGGAATATTGGAAGGAAACCCAAATATCAAATATCACTTAATCTGGCCTACTTTAGCATCTGTTGTCTACTCCACAGTCACTACTGACATTCTTAGGCACAGAAGTGAGGATTAGAATTTATGCATTCTTTGATAATGGAATAAATTCATACTGGCTTGTGAGAAAAAGGAGTGGGCAGTCTTGAAGTTACACATCTACTAAAGACATAGTTGTAGTGTCTACTGCTTCTTGAATTCTATATCATAAAGATGTACTCTTAGCTGATATTCTAAGAGCTTCTTGATATACATTAAGTTGTTAATATTGTCTCTAATTTATACCTTCTTAAGGTCCCTTTTCTTGAGGTTCTTTACAGCAAAATGTTAGAAAAAAAATCAGAGCATCATCTTGGACTCCATTCACCCCATTACATACATACAGGACTGGTAGGATGAATACTTCTTGAGTCCACATCTTCTTCTCACGCCATCACCTTGGTTATACCCAGTCCAAACTCTCCTCATTTACATCTGTATTGCTGCAACAGCCTCAGAAGTGCTGTTTCTACTTTTAACTCCCCCTTCTTTTTGCTCCTACATCCTCCTCAGTCACCATAGTTGTTATGAAACAAACAAGATAACACCAGCTTCTTGCTTAAAAACATTTAGCTAATCCTGTCTGACAGAATCATAGCTAGTTTTTAGCATGTTTGCAAAATCTTTCCAAATCTGGAGCTACTCCATGTTTCAGGCTGCCCTCTCTATATATGACAGTTGAGCCTGAGTAATGCTGCTGGCCATGGGAGCAGCTCATATGTCTTTGCATTCCCAAGCCTTTGCAAATGATGGTGCCATTCCTGCAAGGACCTCCTGATTCTCTTTTTCCCCATTCATTTCAGGAATTCTTTTTACTCATTTCAAATTAGGTCTATGGTATTGTCAACAAATAAATTTCAAGGAAAACAGAAATGTAGGGGTAGCTTATAGATTAAAAGAAATGAAGAACCCACAAAAAGCCTCTGCAGAGTAATTTTCTGGCTTGTTTTTTAGTTACACGACTAGGAATAAACTAGAAGCCAACATGAAACATTTTTTGATATAAATGTCACATTCCCAATCTATTCTTAACAAGACGGACAATATTTCAAAAACTGGTATAACACTTCCTACTGATTAGGGTGGCTACTCTTAAGAAAATATAAAAATAGTAAGTGTTGAGGATGTGAAGTTGGAACCCTTGTGCTCTGCTGGTGGGAATGTACAATGTACAGCTGCTATGGAGAACAGTATGGTAGGTCCTCAAAAATTAAAAACAGAATACCATTTAATCTAGCTATTCATCTCTGTGCATATACCCAATAAGAGATGAAAGCAGGGACTTGAAAAGATATATATTGATACACCCATGGCAGCACACTCATAATAGGTAAGAGCAATGGTAAATTTTATGTTTGTATATTTTATGGCAATTTAAAAAATGGAAAAGAGTAAGAAATTGATACACTACCAACTATTAGTGAAAATGCAGTTTCTCAATCTCTTATACATAATTGTTGGGAAAGTAAAATGGTATAACTACCTGGGAAAGAGATGATAATTTCTTATAAAACTGAACCTATACTTATCCTGTGATCCAGCTATTCCACTCCCTCATATTAACTCCAGAAGAATGAAAGAGTTTGTGTCTAAGAGTGATAATAACAGTTTACTTCATAGTAGCCCCAAATTACAAATAGTTTGCGTATCAATCAACAGGACAATGGATAAACTGTGGCATATTCCTATAATTAAATACTCTCAGGTTAAAAGGAACAAATTACTGCTATAAGCAATAATGAAGTAAATCTCAAAAACTTGCTGAATGAAAGCAGACTCATAGAAGAGGACCTACTGAATGATTCCATTAATATGAATGAATAGAATATAGGGGATCATTTTGGGGTTGATGGAAATTGAGATGGATTGATACAACTTATATAATGTATGTCTCTTACACCTCAATGAAAAAAATGGAGGGACAGATAGGACAATAATAAAATGTTACCTGAAGCATTATTAAGAAGGCACCATGAATATCTCCTTTCTTTTCTAACAGATAGGCAGTGACTTCATGAAGTTGATACTTCTGCGTAATCTATGAAAGAAGAAAAAATGTAGCCCTTTATTCAAAAATCTTATCTGTAGAGTGTGAAGATTCTAACATTCAAGATGAAAAACAATAATAAATGATGAAAAACATAATAAATAATAAATACATAATATTTTTCAGTACAACATGTTAATATTTTACTTTTCAGTGCTACCACGGCCCATCTGACAGTTGTAACTAAAAAGTACATTCACATTTTTCTCCTTTATTTAAAAATGATCACATACCTAAATGAGATGCATTCATTAGAGAAAAGATAATACACACATATACTTAGTAATAACATAAGCCTGGGACTGAATAATGCAATTGTACACAAAACATTTAGAATAAAATGATAATGAAAACATCTCAACTGTGGGTCCTTAATAAAAATTAATAAGCTAAGAGTTTCTAATAAGTAAAGAAATACCAGTTAAGCAGAAAGAAAGAAAGAAAGAAAGAAAGAAAGAAAGAAAGAAAGAAAGAAAGAAAGAAAGAAAGAAAGAAAGACAACAGACAGACGTGTAGGAAATAATGCCACAGCAAAGAAACAAGAGAAAATAATAGATGAATTCCAAAGACCAGTTGTCCTTGAAAAAATTTATATTGTAGAATAAAACTTTCTTAGGAGTAAGGAAAAAGAGAAGCACAAATTACGTATTATCAAGTTGACAGAATGAAGAAAAATGTGACCATCTCAATAAATGCAACAACTATATTTAGTGAAATGTTGAAATTCTTGAAAAGCAAAACACTCCTATCCAAACTGGGGATGGAACTTTTTAATTTAATAAAAATTATCTGTCAAATTCTATAATAAACACTGTATTGAATTAAAACATTAGGCACCTTTCTGTTCAAATCAGAAACAAAGCAAGATTGGATACTGCTTCTATTCTAATAATATCCTAGAACTCCTAGACATCTGATTATTGAAAAAAAAGCATGACTGGAAAGAAAAATATTACCTTTACTTTTAGAAAATACTACTATTATAAAAAAAAAAATCCAGAAACTATCTGATTAAAAAAGAATTCCATCTGATTATTGGATATAAAACAATATACAAAGCTGAATATTACATATATATACATATATATGTGTGTGTGTGTGTGTGTGTGTATATATATATATATATATATATATATATATAGAGAGAGAGAGAGAGAGAGAGAGAGAGAGGTTACAATAAAAAAGTCATTACAAAAAAACTCCTATCACAATGCTAATAAAAAGTATATGTATCCAGGTACAAATTTATAAAAATACATGGAAGAACCTTATACTGAATATAATTCTCACCAAAAGTATAGGAGGCATTTAAAAAAAGACAATCATATTCTTAAATGTGATGTCAATTGCACAAGGTGTTAATCTTCCTGAATTAATCTATTAATTCAATGTATCATTTTCATCAAAATCCCAAAATAATTTTTTTTAAAGATTTATTTATGCATACAGAACTGGGGTACAGGCCAGAGGTGAGGGGCAGTGAAAGGATTCACCAGAGACAGAGTGGGGAGCAGAACAGGCAGATCGATGAAGTACACTGCTGAGGGGAGCAGCGAGCAGGTCATGAGAGGTCTGCTGAGCCATGTGGGCCATCTATGGGGCCAGGGATCAAACTTGTGCTGAAGTGGCTTTAGCTTCTTAGTGCTGCATTTACCCTCTGCGCCACCAGGGAGGGCCTCCCCGAATAATTTTTAAGGAAACTGACAATATAATTTCTAAATTCATGTGGAGTAGTAATAGGACACAACAGCCAAAGAATTTTAAAGAAAAAGGAGAGAAGTTCCTTCTTTCAAATAATAATCTTAACTGTAAACTGGATTGGCTGAAATATATGGTATGGGAATAGGAAAATACAAATAACCATAGAAACTGAACTTACAAACAGATTTATGTATTTTCAAGAGTTTAGTATATAGCACTCTGGCATCTTAAATTAGTGGGTAAGTATAATAAAATACCACATGAACTATTAGTCATCAACATGGAAAAAATATACAAATCCCTGTCTTGATCTGTTTATAAAAATAAATTCCAGATGGGTTAAAAGCCTAATGTAAAAAGTTAGACTATAAAAGTCATATAAGAATTTATACTTGATGCCATCAAAGTAGAAAAGAAAATAAGGCTCATACACAAAAATTTAAACCTTGAGGAAGAAGACTGATAAATTAAGATAGAAGTTACTAAGAACCAAGGTAAAAGATGTGTCATAATATACAGGAAGAAGGCATCTCCAACCAATGAAATCTGTAAAGGATTAGAAATCCAGGAATTACAAAAACTTCTAGAAATCAGAAGGGCAAAAACCCTAGACAAAATATTGGGCAAGTGATATTGATAAAGAAATTGAGAGGAAAGAAAATTCAAAGGGTCACTATAATATGTATAGAAGAAAATATAGGCAGAACACTACATGACATACATACTAGTAACATCTTTAAAGACACATCACCTAAAGCAAACTAAATGAAGGAAAAGATAAACAGCTGATATTGCATCAAATTAAAATGCTTATGTACAGAAAAAGAGACATTAGCCAAGTAGACACCCCACTGATTGGGAGAAAATTTTTGCACACAATATTAATGATAAGGGACTGATCACAAAGATCTACAGAGAGTTAAGGAGACTCAACAAAAACACAGTAAATAACCCAGTCAAACAATGGTCAGAAGAGCGAAAATACACTTTTCCAAAGAAGAAATGTAAATAGCCAGCAGGCATATGAAAAAATGTTCAACATCACTTGTAATCAGGGAAATGCAAATCAAAACCACAATGAGATACCACCTTACACCAGTGAAAATGGCACATATTTAAAAAACTAGCAACACAAGGATACAGAGAGAAAGGAACTCTCCTGTACTGCTGGTGGGAGTGAAAACTGGTCTAACCACTATGAAAAGCTGTGTGGAGGTTCTGCAAACTACTAAAAATGGAGCTTCCATATGATTCAGCAATTCCACTCATAGGAATCTACCCAAAGGACATAAAAACATTAATTCAAAAGGACACCCACACCCCTATGTTTATTGTAGCACAATAAGTTATGGAAGCAACCCAAATGCCCCAAAGTAGATTACTGGATCAATGGAATATTACTCAGCAATCAAAAATGATAAACTCAGGCTCTTTGCAGCAATGTGGATGGAACTAGAAGGGATTAAGCTCAGTGAAATAAGCCATATGGAAAAAGAAAAATATCAAATGGTCTCACTTATAGAAGGACAGTATAGAAACCAAATAAGGAATCAGTGGACGGGGAGTAATTATAATAAGGTAAAAATCAAAATCATCAGGCAACTATAGATCAGAGACATTCTGTAGGGGAGGAAGATGGTAAAGGATCAGGATAGGAATAGGAAGAGCACAAGAGACTATGGTGATAGTGTATGGTTGAATTGGTGGAATTTCATGGGGAAATCATACATTATATAAAAGTGAAGGATGATGTAATACATATATTTAAAAAAAGGAAAAAATAAAGCAATAAAAACATGAAAAATAAGCATGGTAAGATGTTCAGTATCATGAATAGCTATGATAGACAGTATTCTGGCAAAAAATTAAGAAATCTAAATAATAGTAGTCAACAAAGATATAGAAAAACGACAAATGTTAACCACTGAAAAGAAGAATAAAAACAAACAGGAGATTAACTTGGCAATATTAGTAAAATGAACCTACTCTACTGTCTGAAGAATTCCCACTTCCAGTTATAAAGCTCAGGGAAACCTAACATGAGCACAGAAGAAGACAGTATATAATGTAGCACCATATATAATGGCAAAATTGGAAATAGTCTGAAAATTTATCAGTAGACACATTCACTGAATAGACTATTACATGACTAAAACAAATGAACTAGAGATGCACGCATGAAAGTTGGTATGTTAAAAAAAATTAATGAAAAGAAGCCATCTACAAAGGGTTATGTACTATATATGACCATTAATACCAATTCTAAAAACAAAACTGCATCCTGTAATTATAGGAAAGCATATATATCTATCAGGTATATATACCTACATGAATGGGAAGGATAAACTTCCCCAGGTGACGTCAGGGGAGAGAAGAGAACATGATAGATAGTCCTTTTTAAAAAAATAAACAAAAGGACAAACATCCATTAAAATGTGTATTAAGGTGTATTAATATAAATGTGTAATAATTTCATTAGAAATAGGGGAAAACAAGAAAAGAGAAAGCAATGGACATGTCAAGGCTACTCAACTGCTTTTCAGTCATCTTTCCAAACAACAGGACTACGTGAGGGTCAGTTCCTACAAACAAGAGCTTGTTTTTTCCTTTAATATTTCTACTATATTCCTTTATGTCCACTTATTGTGAGGGACAGAATGTCTATAAAGCTCAATTAAAAACTGCAGTAGACATTGCTGTTTCTAACAGTTTATCAAGTAATGAAGAACATGTACAATAAATTCAGACTATCTGGGTTTAGTATCAGGTGCCACCACTTACTAGCTGTTAACTTACATAAGAAATCCATTATGCATGTGAATATTCCTTTACTAATTAATAAAACGATGAAGGATTAAGAAAAGCTTGCTTTTGTCTTCTTTATATTACTGGTCTTACCTGGATAGTTTCTTCTAGACGGTAGCACTCAAGTACTTGCAGAGTCTCTGTAACTTGGTTTGGGTTGAACTGACACAACAGCTCAATGAACTGCTCTGTAATACTGGGAGATATTTGCAGCGATTCTTGATTTATATGAATCCCTTCCCTGAAAACATAAAAGGTAAGGAAGCATTAATTAATCACCTGTATAATTAAGGTTAAAAAACATGTTAACATTAAAACTGAGCCTCTCTTTTGGTCAGGTCAAATTGTGAATTAAATCTCCATGTTACTTAGGTTATTATGGTTAACTGTATATTACATAAGAGGCATTCTAGTATTATTTCTGATAGTACACTGAATAATTAAGGAAAAGACATTGATTGGAAGTTCCAGTAAACCATACTAAAGGTTAATAGCCAAGGTGACCCAATTCAGTCTAAACAATTTGACCTTAAACTTCAAAGAATAAACCATCTTCCAGACTCAACATCTGTACTTACTATATTTTCCTCAAGCACCAATTACATCACATTGTGACCATTTCTTTAATTTTCTATCTTCTCTAAAACACTATGAACTGTATGAGGGTAGAGACCAGGTACCCTTTTACTAATGTATTCTCAAGAAGCCTACAACTGTGTCTTGCATGTAGTAAAGGCTGATATTTTGTTTGTCATAAAAATTAAAAAGTAGATTAACAGTAGGATACTCAATACCTATGGGTTCACTTGCTTTGTATGCCAACTACTCATACCCACTATTCACAATGCCTATACAAATTGTGCCAGTGGTCAAAAGAATCTTAGAAAATCCACTGTTGTTCACTGCAGACGTATGAATTATCATCTCTCCAGTTTTAAGTCAGTTCTATTTGAGAGTCCTATATTCAAAACTCCTCAATGAAAAGTTCCTTATATGAAGGACTGGAGTAGGATTAATAAAGTACAAAATGACTGCTTGGGAAATTAAGTTTCTAAAGAAAGGTTAAGGCAGATGATCTAAGCAACACTTGACAATTTTTTTCCTATCGTGGCACACAAAAATGGCAATACTGGGGTATGGCTCACTGGAGTTAAGATTGTAAGGAACTCTAGGTGCTGCAAGAACTGAGGGGTACCACTCACAAAACACACCTAACTCATATGCAGTACACCAACTATCACAAATGGGAATTTCTGGATTTCAGGGAGAATGATTGGGTACTAAAAATATTCTACAAATGATGGTAAATAGCACTAGTACTTTTACTAGTAAGGATCTTCAGTTACAGAGAGAGGAATTATATTTAGACACAGGCAATCTTCTCTAATTTAACAGCTTTGTGACACTCAATCCTGACAGAAGGTTGGGAAAGGAATTCAATAAATTCTGTTGTTTGGGGCTTTTGATATTTATTTTGATACTTTTGATATTAATTCAGTATCACCTTAAACTGTCCATAAATTCCAAAGATCAAGTTTGATTTTTTTTATATTTCACAACCTCCTTTAAGGCAGAATTTTGTGATTGGCTAGTCCCTATGTTGACAATCACTTTAGTTCTTACCACGTAACTTGAAAATTGAAAAATTGATGTGTAAATTTTTGAGTACCCAATATACTATAAGAGCAAAGATTATATGGCATCCTTTTTTTTTTAATCATCTTTAGCATAGATTTGGCATATATTAAATGGGTGTTCAGTACATGCACACTGAATTGAACTGAATTGACTAGAAATAGTGCATTGGAGCTCCTCTACACAGAAGAAACCAACTACAGAGGGGTGAAAAGTACAAGGACAAGAACTTTAAAGTCAGACATAGCTAGGAATAAATCCTTTCAGAAGGCACTACATGGAGAAAATAGAAGATGCATGTGATAAACCCAGGGAAACAGTAGTTCTCTATGTAGGATCAAGTTGTTTTCAATAGAACACAATTAGGTAAAAGAGAAAGGAAACGCTAACCAGTTTCTCAAGGAGAGTTAGTGTACTTTCCAGATGTTTATGCCATGTTGTAGCTTTTGTTAGTATTTTATCTATGTAAGATTTCTGTTAATGTGACTTATAAATGCAAGACTATGGAACAAATTAAAATTAGACATAAGCATCTGCAGATGGATCACAGTATTTAATTCTTTCTAGAACATTTATTGACAAAAGCCTTTATTAGTACTGAAGATGTGAATATGCATCAACCGAAGCAAATTAACCAAATGAATAGAATTTGATGTGTTCATTTGTGAGGAAAATAATGTGTCTGCTGGGAAATGAACAGGCAATATCAACATAATCAAAACTTTAATAAATAAACTGTAACATTAGTGAATTTACATCCATTTCTGTCACTCAGTCTTGCCCATAAATATAATTTGCTATAACTATTTCCCAGCACTATTTCTGTTAGTCTTCTAGTCGCTACCTGCTTTACCTTTTACCCACTGTTAACTTTAATGGCTGTCAAAATGATGTATTTTAGACCTAAACCTTATCTGCTCTTTGGGGATTCTCTATTTCAATACAGCATTGACTGAAAGATACTAACTAAATATACATAAAGGAAAATTCCACAAGGCATGCACCAGACTTTCTTTTGTTAGTTTTTAAAGAAAGCATATATATGCCTTATAAAATACACATACATGCAGGCACGTACACATGCAAATCATACTCCAAAATTCAGGCTGGAGAAAGAATGCACCCTTACTTAGGTTGTGAAAATCATTTAAAATGATAATCTTATATACTAGGCCACTTCTGAAGAAAGAAAAAGTTATCAGTTTTGAAAAACTTACATTAAAATGATCCTATGATTCAAATTGTGATTTCTAAATATTTGCTAAAGAAAATAAATGTGTGGAATGAAAAAAAAATCTGGGCTTTCTTTTTTACTCTAAAAAATAAATACTCTAAACACAAAAATAGGCTAATCCAGACTACTCTTCCAGATCTCTGAGAAAGAGGATTTCAAAATCTCCCACCAGAACTTGTTTTGACAATTTAGGGCAACCTCAGCTTAGTTTAAATCCTGATTACTTAAATTCTCTACCCATTCTCAAATACCCAGTCCTTGGAAATGAGGCATACTGATGACTGCTTGGTACTTTTTAGGCTGAGAAGTCAAAAATACCCCCACAACAAACAAGAAGAAAGAAAATTATTCTTCTTCGTAGTTTTTATTCAAATCAAGTTGCTTCACAAAGCGGTTAAACTGAACTTAGAGCTTCCCCTCCCTATCCACACTGAAGCTAGAAGAGTATGATTCTGTCTCAATCGAACAAAACCTAAGTGTTTAACCTGCTTCAAAAACAGTATTTTAAATGTGGTTGTTATACATAGCAAAGGCAGTGGTACAGAATTTGTGTGACACTGTAAGCTAATAAAAAAATGTTCCACAAACTGGATATGCCAAGATAGACAGAAACGCTGTATTGGCAAGAAGGAATCCAATAGAATTGGATTCAACACTGTCTATCTCTTAAAATATTCCTTCAAAATTATCCACAGAAACACTGACAGATTCAATTAAATCCAATGAATAACCATTTCCATAATCTATGTTTTGCTTTTTGACAAAGACACCTATTTCTAAAACAATTGGCCCCAATGATGTACAGACTGACCCTTTATTTTGTGCAAAGTTGCCAGTCTCTCATGTAGCGATAGCCACAATGCCTTACACACTTCTAAGAGGCACAGAGAAAAGCAGACAAGTGTACTATTTATCTAACAGTAAAGACAATGCCATGTCAAATCAATGTAATAAACCTAAGATAGATCTTTAGGGGATCTGGTCACTTTCTATTTCCCTAGTTTGGCTCAAAATTACACTAGTCTGACTATAAAATTTCCTCCTTCAAATGTGAACAGAATTTTTTAAATCTCTTGATATTTTGATGACTGAACAGTGCAGTGTGCTGGGGCTGAGAAGGTGGCATGGAGTGAGTAACGTGGAAAATTCATGACCACTCTGGGTTTTTAAAGATAATTAGTCTGCAGCTGCCTGCTGATTTGTCTATTTATTCCATTACAATGTAAATTCTCTTGAATGCAGGGCCTGTCTCATGCCATTTTATCTCCAGTGTTTGTCACAGTACTTAGTGTGCTATAGTCACTCAGTAAATTGTTACACAAAATAAATGAACAGATTTATTCTTTTCTTTACTAAAAAAGAAAGGAAAAAAATTGGATTGAAAAAAAATGAGTGTAATTTTGAGCAATTTCAACCTCTAACACAGTACTTAGCAGATAACAATCTCATGAAGAATTACTGCACAAAGGAATATGGAAATAAGCACACAGGCTATTTTCTATCTGTCTGTCTGTCTGTCTGTCTACCTATATATCATCTGAAAGGTCTGGATGTTGGGAAATGACAATATATTTGGATTTAAAAGGTCAAACTGGAGCTTCTGGCAAAATACTAACTACAGATAACTATCTGGTAGTGAGCCTGGCTAAAGTGATGAGTACTCACTGAATTGGGAGTACTCATCTGAATTTTATATATCAAGAAATCAGAAACATATATAATGTTCTATTTTTATTTTAAATTTAAAATATGCCTTTTCAACACTATCTCTTAAAATATTCCTTCAAACTTATCCATAGAAATACTGACAGGTTCTATTTAAATCCACTGAATAACCATTTCCATAATCTATGCTTTGCTTTTTGACAAAGACACCTATTTCTAAAACAATTTTAATTTTCAGTTTATTCTGATTAAGGAGTTAGAAGTACAATATCTGCTTCTTTTCTATATTTGTGTGCTTTTTTTTTCTTAACTACAAGAAAGCATACAAAATATTTCAAAAACTTCCAGGACACTGCTAACAAAGCTAAACTGACATTACCAAGAAAACCCATACTGAGGAAAATATTTTGTGAAAATGAATATGCTTATATATTCTCTTTATTCCTTATATACCTCATCGCCTCCCTGTTCTCCCCCACCCCTACAAACACAAATCAGTGTACTTTTGTATTATCCTCAAGCTGTACAAAGAACCTGTATTTGGATGTAAATGTATCAGAATTCCTGTGAGAAGTCTGGGCTAGCAAGAATACACACCCAGAGTGGGGGTGAGGTGGGGCGTTATGCAGCAGCTGACCCAAAGAAGGGAATTGGAGAGGATGTAAATCCTTTCTCTCCCAAACTGTTGGCCTCAATTCAGGCAAGTAATTTGCTTCTGGATGATTAATCCCCCTCCTTTCAAAACTAATCTCCCTACATACATATGAAAAAACCACCAATATCTTCATAGGTCAATTAATTCTACTGAGGACATTATTTACATAGTAAAGATAACTTAATGAAATTGGATAAAAAAATACAGAAACACATAAAAATTCAACTAGATGATCTGTTCCTATAAAAACGCTACTGAACAAAATTAAAAGCTACCCCCTCAAAAATATTTCTATCAATATATGCATAGAGGAATCAGGATACTATGGACTCAGGTTTGGGGAGCAAGAGGGAAAAGAGTAATATTCCTGATATGTCACATATATACAGGCATTCCTCACTGCAAAAGAATTTTTTTCTTTCATTTCTTGCTCTCCAGAATGCTGCTACTGAAATTTCATAGGGGTGGATAGTAGGAACTAGGACATCAAAAGAATCAAGTTGGGTTATTTAAGGAGAACAGAAAGGTAAGAAACAAAGGGAAAAATAGTTTGAAGCTCTGTACAGGGAAAACTGATAGGTAGGACCGCTGTGATCTACCTGTTCGTGACATTATTCTGTCCCTACATAAAAGAGTTTTCCCTACTCTCTTAGTTTCACACTTCATTTTCCCCAATACTTGATAAGATTCTAATCTTTCATTTCAGGTTAGTCAACACACATATTCATTTAAAAAAGGCTAAAATGTAATGGAAAATCAGTCATTCAGAGATAAATGTAAACTAATTCACACAACCTGCTTTCCTGTTACCCTTGAGGTCAACTGGTATCGGAAAAGCTTTTCCCATTAGCGTGTGTATGCGTTGTCATATTCACATGTTACTTGAATATTCTCATGGGGAAAGTGTCACGTAATACAGGAACTGACAAAACAATCAGAAGATTCTGATCAGAACTTGGAAAGAGGTAATTTTGGATTTTAAAAGCTACCCAACAATGGTATATATGTGAATGTATTTATGCTGCTTTAACTCACTGTGCCACCAGGGAGGGACCCACCATAGTCTATTTATGGTGAAGTTTAAATAGTGATTGCAATATCAGAATAAATGACTGTATTAATATTTATAATAACTAATACTGGCTTTTTTATTTTAAAAAAGTCTTTTATACTTTGTAACACGTGATCACTACTGTCTTCTATACTTCGTAACATGTGAGAAAAGGTGAAGTTCAAAGTTGCACCCTTCTCTCCAGGTAGGACAATTGGGGGGGAAATAAAAAACTTGGTTAAAATTAATTACCCTAGGGGAAAAAGAATCAGATCCGAAGAGAACTGATCTAACAATGGAAGAAGCAACAAAAAAGGAACAGAAAGAACTTTGACATGGGAAAAGAGGGTCACAGGCCCCAAGGAAAGGAAGGGACAGGGTTGGGGCTGGGAGCCTCCTTCCTCTTAAGCCTAGCTCAGTCCTCTCAATTGTTGGCCCTCTTCTCAGTTAACCTCCCCAGTTCTCTCCAAATCCAATGCTAAAATATATCTCCATCATTTAATTCTAATTAATGCACATAAACTGCATTGGAGAGAAATACAAATGACTAATTTAAACAAAACAAGATGTCTAGTCTCAGTAATATTCTGAACACAAAGAACCAAAGACAGACATATATTTTTTAATTTAATCATAATTCATTTCACATTTATATTAGGTAACTTGTCATTATGTGCTCAAAGTTGAGTTGTAATTTTAAAAACTGATATTTTGGAAAGGTCTTAAACAGGGTGCATGTAATCAGACTAGTTTTCCAAGCATCTACATATGTACATCTGTATTGGTCCAAATTTAAATGCAGCATAACCTGCAAAAGATTTAAATTACTGAAATTTCAAAAAAAAAAAGCTATTATGATGAACAAAATTACTGGTAAACTGGAATAATTCAAACCGATAGATCAATAATTGCCAAACTAAATGACTTTTTTCAATGGCTAGTGTGCATGACAGTATAGCAACTTAAAAGTTTATGTGTCTGGCCCTCCCTGATGGCGCAGCGGGTTAAAGCACAGCACTGAGAAGCTAAAGCCACTTCTGCATGAGTTCGATTCCTGCCTGCCCAGGAGGTGATGACTGCATGGCGTGGCAGACCTCTCCTGACCCGCCCGCTGCTCCCCTCATCAGTGTACTTTGTCGATCTGCCTGGTTTGCTCCCCACTCTGTCTCTGGTGAAGCCTCTCACAGCCCCTTAGCCTCTGGCCTGTATCCCAGTTCTGTATGTACAAATAAAAAAAAAAAATCTTAAAAAAAAAAGTTTATGTGTCTGATGTGAAAGCAATGTCATCCTGGAACAGTACACTTAAGCAGGGATGCTTCACTCAGGGTACACATCACAAATACTCCTCACCTACCATGATTCTGAGGGGTTAGATACAGGCGTCTGTATGTTTTAGTTTCTTAGGCGATTGTGAGACACAATTCTGGTTAGGTCATTGTCTTGGGGCCTCACCTGGTAGCCTACAAGTTAAGTCTTAGTGATATCACCTTTTAGAACTGGGTTCCCTCCCTGACCAGGGAAGTGACCCACACATGGCACAAAAGACCTCTCTTGTCTTGCCTATTACACCCTTCAGCAGTGTATTTCAATAAATCCATCTGTTCTGCTCCCCACTCTGTCTCTGGTGAATCCTCTTACCCTTTCACCTCTGTGGCCTATACCCCAGTTCTTTACACACACACACAATTTTAAAAATTCACTATCTTAGTGGATATTAAATATTATTATACACAACATTCAATGTACTCCTCATAGTCACATCAAAAGGCTAAGATCTCATGTGCACAGCTATTTTTCTTACAAATCCATTACTAACTTCATCATCTGCTTGGGTTAGTTTTTATTTGATGTATATCACAGTAATACAGTTAAAAAACACTGAAACTGTGTTCCTCATTCTGCCAAGAAAGCAATTTTAAAAAAACAAAGGGAAGTTTCCTAGGTAATATATTTAGAGGTGGGCTAGGACCTAGTGTTTACTTTAAAATGCAAAGCTATCAATGCACAGCATGGGATAAAGAAGAAATGAAGATAAGAAAGAGGAAGCTGTTTGGTCATCAAACTCTTCCTACAACATGTCCTCTTAGAATGGACACAATATTTTACGTACAATGATGACAACTCACCATGTGTGCTTATTTTCAAGTGGAATTAAAAGTATACCCTCAAGATTTAATCTACTTTCAGCTCATATATTTTGGTATATCTACCTGTTACACTAACATTAAAAATCCAGAAGTGGTTGTACCATTGGTGACCATGGGCTTGTTTCTTAACCTCAAGTTATTTTCTTTGATTTATTATCTATGCATTATGAAAAACTAGTTTATTAACATACCTTGGGTCAAGAAGACTCCTCAGAAATTTGAAAAGCAAAATCTGGTTCTGAATAGGAAAACAATAAAAATACAATTAAATATTAAAAAAATCCTCCAACGACTGCCATGGGAAAGAATGACTCCAGACCACGCCTTTCAATTGTACACATATTATTATTTTCACTAGTCTGTTTGTAAGAGGTAAAATTCTAACAAATCATTGGAGACAATCTCTTCTAACTGTCATACGTTCAGTTTTGAATGCAGAAGGAACATAACACCAACCTCTTATTTCTCCAATCCTGCCCCTTGTAAAAGAAAAAAGCCCTCTGCTGAGACAAAATCCTGAGGGGTGGCCTTCACCAGGATCATCCCAGTGGCAGGTGCCTTAAGTTGCTCTGCTGGTGGTGATTCATGTTGCCTCACCTGCTCCTCTGTCTGAAAAGGCCCATTATGAGACAGTCAATCCAAGCAGAGTGGGAATTTGAGGGCCCAGTAACCAGCACCACCTAAAGAACTCATGAACTGCACAATATAATCAACTACAGAAAAGATGATAAACTGCAACAATGTGCCATAAAAACTGGATTTTATTTTTTCCACTTATTAAATGCCTAACTTTGTATATCAGTCACTGTTCCTCTCAGCAGGTCAGTTTCCTTAGGTGTATTTTCCTTTCTCTGTGTAGAGGTGAGAATTAAGTGAATTAAATCTTAGAATACTACATGAGTATAATAGTGTTTCTAAGTTTTTAGGAAAGTCAAGCAAAAAATTATTAGTTTAGTTTTCCTTTGTTTATTATTTTTGAAACATTCAAATTTCACATATGAAAACAGGGAATTAACACAACTGAAAAGTAGTAAAGCCATTAGAATATAAATATTTTCAATATATTTATCAGACTTTGGTTTCCCTCTTTTCCCTAGCTTACCACTTTGTTTTATTTTTTACAACTTTCCTTATACTTAGAACAATAGTCTGGCTTACTTTTCGTTTTAAGAATTCTGAAAAAATTGATGGCAAGCATATCTGTTGCCATCAAAAGTATAAAATCTGTATAGGAGTCTTGTACAAGATTTTCAGCAAAATTGTTTCATCTCTTTAAAAGAAACTTGTAAGACCCCACAAACCCCACACAGTCAAAGTGCTGCCTTAAAAAAAAAATAGCTTAGGCCACTTCCACATGAGTTCGATCCCTGCCTGCCCGGAAGGAGATCCACATGGCAAGGCAGACCTCTGCTGACCCGCCTGCTGCTCCCCTCAGCAGGGTACCTTGTCAATCTGCCTGTTCTGTACCCCACTCTGTCTCTGGTGAATCCTCTCACTCTCCACATCTCTGGCCTGTACCTCAGTTCTGTATGAATAAATAAATCTTTAAAAAAAAAAAAGTGACACTTCAGCTTTTATATAGCTGGTGTATTGATATATCTGATGACATAATATCCCTTTACCTGGCCATTCTGCTTCTAATGTCATTAAGAGACTACAGGAAGAATAAAATCCTGCAATTAATACTCTTACACTGTAGATGACAACAGCAACACTACAGATGAGAGGATTCATCAAAACTGCTGACATTTATAAGGAAGAGAAGCCCTGTGGATCTAGAGCAATTTCAGAAAAGCAGTCTTGTGTGCTCCTCACTAGAACGGGGTTACTGGCCCGCCATGTCCTTGCTCAGCAACCTGGGCAGTGTTCCATCATTGTACAAGTCAAATACTCTACACTTGTTCTTTGGCTTATCTAAGCACAGGGATACCTTATATATTTTTGTACATTCAGCACTTAATGCTTTTGATGCACAGCAGGTACATAACTTCTATTTAATTAAAGGTGAGTCTTTATCCTGAGTTAACAGACCTCATCACACTAGACAAACACGTCGCTTATCTGGGAGTCAGTTTTAACTCTTCTCATCAGATTCAACTTATTTCTAGGCCCTGTACTCTGTTTCAAAACATATCCTGGCTTTGTCCGCTCTACTGCCTCTGACTTAGCCTTGACTTCACCATCATTTTTGCCCTGGCTTTTTGCATTCTAAATGACCCAACTAGTTTCTCCTTCACTTGCTTTCTTTGCCAGTCCATTCTCTACCATAGTTAATTTGCTATAAAATGATTTAATTATGTTATTCATTTGCTTTAAAAAACTAGTAATTCTCTAGTACCTAAGATACCTAGGATTAAATATAAGATTGTTCAATATCAGGACTCAAACTCTAAGCTCTAGCCTCTATAATTTTAAGCCCACTCCTCCAACATACCTTTTATATCTTAATTTAATACTTCTTCCACTACTGTCCTCTTCACATTGCGCTTGCTACCTGAGCCTTCTCTGACTATGCATTTTGCTTCATGCCTTCAAGTCTTTACATACCCAGAATTCTCTATGCAGAAAGCCCTTCCCAGAGCTTTGACCTGAAAGCTGGACCAATCATTCAAGATTCAGTTCACACATGTCTAGGAATTTCAGTCTGATTTTTTCATAGTCTATCACCCCTTGTTCCTGTAACACTTTTTTACATATATGTGGTGTAGTGTTTATAATATTACACTGTGGTTATGTGTTTCTCTATTCTGTTGGGAGAATGAAAGAATATTCTTACTTGTGTGCCCAGCGTCTACCAAACTGTGATACAGAGTGGGGCCACAATCAGTGTTTAAATGAAAGAATTTCCTATCTTTGTCTCCAATGCTAGCCTCCTACTCACTGCTTTGGTGTTCATCTTGCATACGTAACCCTACTATTATTATTGACACTGGACTTTGGGTGGGCTTTATATCTCTGTCATCATCCTGTTCCTTACCTCCATCATTTGTAGCCATAATGATACCAAGCCAAACTTACCACTAGCACTGCCAAGCAGTGATAAGTAAAATACTGGCTCTCCTAAACAATACTTCCAACTGAGCTTCTCCATACTTAGCATTAAAATATCTGTACTCTGGCCCTACCTGGTGGCGCAGCGGGTTAAAACACTGCACTAAGAAGCTTAAGCCATTTCCACATGAGTTCGATTCCCACCTGCCCCGGAGGTGACCACATGGTGTGGCAGACCTCTCCTGACCCGCCCGCTGCTCCCCTCAGCAGTGTACTCCCTCGATCTGCCTGTTCTGCTCCCCACTCTGTCCTGGTGAATCCTCTCACCCTCCGCATCTCTGGCCTGTACCCCAGTCCTGTATAAATAAATAAATCTTAAAAAAAAAAAATCTGTACTCTAGTTAGATTTTTCCAAAAAATTCTAAATTATCAGCAGTAACCCAATTTGGAGATGACGAAAGTCTCAATAAATAATACAGCTCAAAGAGAATAGTGTTACAGACCCTATAGTAAAAGAAAATACAGGTTGCAGAGTAGAACTTTTGAGGATTATTACTTCCAGAATAAGTATAGGATATAACTCAAAAATGTTTCTGTGATGTGAAATTTGTCATGCATAAAAATAAACACACCTTCAATTACAGACTAAGAGGTCATCACACCAATGCGCCCAAATATTGACACAAACATTCATGATGTGTAGAATCTATGATTGAAAACTGGCCACCAATTGAAGAAATTACTACAATCAAAAGTTCTCAGGTAGATAATCAATAACTCTTTTCCACTAGATACTTCTTTCCAATTTAATTTTGCTATAGTTACCTCAAGTTTTTTAATGACTGTTTCAATCTCTCCAGAAAAGTGAGTTGCAACTAGTTCTGCAGCTTTACAGGGCTTCAGCGACACAAGTTGCTACAGTGAAAGAAAAAAGGTAAAATGATCTTTAATGTTAGTAGAATTGTTATAGAGATGAAGCATAAACATCTACCTCAATATTATCATAAGCCCCTACACTGCATTTAAGGAAACCTTGAAATAGAGCCTCAATTTAAAGGCACAAAAATAAAAATAAATAAAATTAGAAATGTGCAAATGTAAAACACCACAATTTAATTTTAAAAAAGGACAATTCAGAATTAGGAAATGAAATGCACTTAAGAAATGAAAACACTAACATTCTGTACTTTTGCCATGAGAGCTATAAGATTAACAGAAGAACAAAAGCTTCACAAGTTCCCTGTCAGTGCTTAAAGTAGTTAACTTGAAACTTAAAGTAGTAACTTGAAGAAGAAAAAGAGTATAGCTGCTACTTCTCTGGCTAATTCTAAAACTTTGTTTCTGGTGTTTGGTAGCTAGAGAAGCTAGCAGTGTGTTAAAAAATCAAATCAAGTCATAATTCTTAAAAGAGGTTAAGACACTGACTACTGTCAATTATTAATATTTCTGTCATATCTAAGAATTCTGACTTGCCATCTCCTCAAACTTCCTAGACACTACTGGCTATCCTTTTCTTCTAATATGGGTTGTGTAACTTACCATTACACGTTTACAATTGCTATTACATAACTAAAATGCAAGAACCATCTATAGATCAACATAGTACATTATTAAATAAAATCTGGACAAGTTACTATGACAGCAACAGAACTTCTCTAATAATTTTATGATAGTACTTGTCAGCTAGTAATAATTACTTGACACAAATAACTTGTATAGTATTTTAGACATCTCAAAACAGAGATGGTACAACTTAATCAATATCACAAGTGGAAAGGGAGTTATCACTACTAATCTATAGAAAACAGAAAGACAAAAGAAATTATTATGAATTAATTAGTGAGAATTTTAAACTGATATGAAATAGATAACAAACAAGAAAAATGTAATTTAATATATTGACTTAGGAAATAGAAAACCTGCACTGATTTTTACCATTAAACTATTATGTTGGTGGAAAAGTCATGACGTATTTTTTCTGTTGTCTATACAAAAAATGAGTTTTCTGACAACCCAATAAAGAGTCAAAAATCACTCCATGTGGAAAACTCCAATCATGCATATTACAAGACACATTTAGATAAAAACAGGAAAAAGATTTGGAACAGGCTCATCACAGAAAGGAAAATGAAGTGGCCAATGAAACGTGAAAAGCCTATCAATTTGAGTACTAATTAAGGAAATACAAAGGTAAAACATATAAAATATGATACTGGCATCTACTATAGTTTAAAATATTAATTCCAGTTCTTTAGTAAGTATATACCCCAGAACAGAGATTATTAAACATTAGCAAACAACAAAATGACCAGGAGAACTTGGGTACTAACCCTCAAATTTCTGATTCAATAAATATGAGATGAAGACTGATACTGCATATCTATGAAATTCTCCAGTGATAACTTTACAGAACTTATAATGCTGGTTTGAAAATGAAACTTGGAACTAATATCCTAGAGCAATGCCATGTGCTTATCTCAAGACACATTTGTAAGTATGATCATAGACGGCATGTCTTTCAACAGCACAATGGTGAAACAGTGATATATTTGTAAAGTAGAATACTATACAACAATAAAAATAAATCATAGGTACATACAACAAAATATAAAAATTCTGAGGAATACTGAAGAAAAAAGGATAGGATACAGAGTATTTCATTTACATAATTCAGAAATAGACAAAATAAAAAATTTAGGGATGCGAGCATATGCAGTAATCATAGATAGAAAGGCAAAATATTATCACAAAAACCAGGATAATATCCTGGATACAGTAGAGAATGCAGGGCACTAGGAAACTACAGATGGTTTAGTACAGATCAGGAAACTACACGAACAGTCCATAGTACTAGAAAGAATGTATTTATCTGATTGCTTTTTAATTTTTTATTTAATTGTAGATTTGTTTTATGGATTTTCTGATTTTTTTTTCCTACTTCTAGTAGAAAAATATTCAAAAATCTAGTGAAATGTGTTTTGACCATATTGGAAAAACCATCTAAACCAGAGATTCATTAACTGAAATCCACAGACAATATAACAATGGCTGCTATGACATCTATGGATCTCTAAAATTATAAACTAAATTACATGATCTGTGCATATGCAAAATATGTAAGACCACACATCTGATGCAGAGATCCAAATCTTTTATTAAATTCCCAGAAGAGTCTGATGACCCCAAAACTGTTAAGAATCACTAATCTATACACTATGCATACTGTCAAAAACTTTATTGTGAGGACTTTCCCCCTAAAATATTTCCTGTTGATTTTATTTATATTACTAAAGACACAGAAATCCTTTGACAAGAAGTCTATATACTTGTAATCTTGACTTTAAAGAGATACCAGAAAGTTCAAGTTGAAAAAATGTGCAGATGTGGGAAAAATACCCAGCAGAAATAACTTGGGCAGCAAAAAATACTTCTTGCTTTTCCAGTATGGGTTTTCTGCTGAGTAATTTGTTTGCACATTGATTAATTTATCATATTTCACATTATGCAGAGACATAGCTTCATTTTTGGATGTCTGGAGTCCATGTGCTCAAACCACTGCACAATGCAGATGAAGTGAGATGAAAAATGAGCTGTAATGTAACTATGGAGACTTAAAGGGAATGATGAAAGGAAAGAGAATACAAAATGATTAAAGGAAAAAAAAATATAAGTCAAAATAAGAGATATTCTTAGGGGTTTTTTCACCAAGACATATTTATCTTATTGTTAGCAGGAAAATGATAACATTAAATAAATACAGGTTCTTCAATCCTATAGATGAAAGTGTGGAAACTAAACAAGACCACCACACATCTGATGACCGGCTGTGCCACTTTTCACACCAGATGTTTCACAGAAAATGATATTCACCTTTCTGATCTTTCTAAACTTTACAACCTCCACCAGCTAGAAATTCACATCATATGCAAAGGTTTCTCAAAGTTTCACAGCTCATCTTCTCTTATCATTTTTCATATGTATAAAAACATTTTCAAATACCTGAGTAATACTGAATGATCATTTATTTCACTACATCTCTAAACCAATCACCCGGTATTATCCCATTAAAAAAAGGACAGAAAAGTCATAGATACAAATATGATTTTCAAAATTAAGATTATCTCAGCATCTTTTGCTACTACTTTTTTTTCAGTAGTCAGTGAGCCGTTAAACAGAATAGATTTCAACAAAGCTGCTAGCTTGTTGGTTTCAATGATATACAGCATGATATAAACCTAAACAACTAAAGTGAGTATTGAGTTTTGGGGCACCCTTTAAAAATGCATTGTGACATTTAAAAAACCAGCAACAACAAATGTCGGTGAGGATATAGAGAAAAAGGAACTCTCCTACTTTGCTGGTAGAAATGCAAACTGGTCCAGCTACCATGGAGAGCTATGTGAAGTTTCCTCAAGCTACTAAAAATGGAGCTTCAGGCCCTCCCTGGTGGCACAGCGGGTTAAAGCACAGCACTGAGAATCTAAAGCCACTTCCGCATGAGTTCGATTCCCGCCTGCCCCGGAGGAGACCACATGGCGTGGCAGACCTCTCCTGACCCGCCCGCTGCTCCCCTCAGCAGTGTACTTAGTCGATCTGCCTGTTCTGCTCCCCGCTCTGTCTCTGGTGAATTCTCTCACCCTCCGCATCTCTGGCCTGTACCCCAGTTCTGTACAAATAAATAAATAAATCTTTAAAAAAATAAAAAAATGGAGCTTCATACGAGCCAGCAATTCCATGCCTAGATATCTACCCAAAGGACATAAAAATAATAAATCAAAAGGATACCTGCACCCCTATGTTTATTGCAGCACTATTTACAATAGGTAAGCTATGAATCAACCCAAGTGCCCAAAAATAGATGACTGAATCAAGATATGGTATATATACACAAAGTAATACTATTCAGCAACCAAAAAAGATAAATTTGCAGCAACATGGATAGAGCTAGAAGGGATTATGCTCAGTGAAATAAGTCAGAAGGAAAAAGAAAAATACCAGATGGTTTCACTTATTATAGGAGAATTATAGAGGATTAAGGAAAAACAAAAATTAAACAGATGTCTATAAATCAGAGACATTCTGCAGGTGAATGGGAAGGAAAGGGCTCAGATTGAGGGCGGTTAGAGGACAAAGGACTATGGAGATGGTGCACAGGTGAATTTCAGGTGGGAATTCTATGGGGGCTACACCTGAGAGGAGAAAGCAAATGTATAAAAATACACAAAGATGTAAAATATATATAAATAAACATTTTTAAAAAATGCATTGTGACCATATGTTCATCACATACACTATTAGTCTTTCCACTGAGGCATCTATAAACAGATTTTTAAAAAGAACTTTTTGCTTTGAAGTCAACTGTTATGATAGCAACATAAACAAAACCAGAATCACCACTCTGTCACATAGGAAGGGAAAGACATCAGAGAGAACAATGCATTACAGTAATGTTTCTAAAACACCATTGTGTGACTAGAGAGATTGGATCCTGTCATATATTAGAGAAATGCCAGAAGTGGAATCAATGCTAAGAACCTTATAAAAACCCTCTAATAATTCTAATTTGCCAACAAGTTGATTAAACATGGGCTATTTTCAAAACTCAATATATAATAAGCTATCTATGACAAAGGCTTTGTGAATATGAATGTGGAGTAGAATAAATTATCTGAAAAAAAAATAACCCTTATGTACTCAAGTAAATCAACTTAATAATGACAGTTGCCATTATTTAGTTGGCATAAAGTTAGGAGATACCCACACAAGTGGAGAATAAAATTTTGTTGAATAAGCACCTCAATATGATCCATTGCTTTCTGCCACACAGACTGCTTCTCTTCCGCACTATGTCCAGGGATGGATAAGATATTGTGAATATAATTAAAGACTTCTTCCTGAAGAGCACAAGATAACAGAATTCACTCATTCATACACTCCACAATATTTAGCCATTACCAACTATCTGTTACAGTCTTGGGAAACAAACTGTTTCCTGTTTGGACCACTTGGAGATAGGTAGACTCTTAGAATTACAAACTTGCTCCAATTAATTTGGGTTTTAATTTCACTGACCTAATAGGGATGATCAGATTTTATCTTTGGCAGTCCCTACCCACATCAGCTTTATCTCAAATTACTCTTGTTCTTGTCTGTTATACTCTACTTACACTCATCTTCACTTTATCTATGCGCTCTCTATTCAATTCCTTGAAGATGACAAAACTTTCCCCCCACCTCAGCTCCTCTATATAAGCTGTTCCTTAACCTGTAACACTGACCTTTTGTACGACTTCTTAAATTCTCAAATATAGTTTATATGTCACTTCTCACATTCCTTCCCTGCCCACTCTGCATAAGTCAATTTCCTAATTATCCCTTAAATTGCATCCAATTTCTCTTCTTTAATGCTCATTTTAATTTGTAGCAATCTATTTGGTTTCCTTATTATCAGATTCCATCACCAACTTATAAGTTCTAAAATTGCAGAAACTAATACTTGCTTTACTTCTCAATTTGTACTGGGCAAATAGCAGGTACCCAATAAAAAACCTGAATAAATGAACACTGACTCAACAAACATATATCGAGATATTTCCACTAGTTATACTCAGCGAATAGTTATAAAAGGAGGGGAGAATTTGAGTAAGAAAAGGGCAAAACAGTCTCTTAACTCACCTCTCTTAGTGGATCACGCAAATAGCAATCAATAATTTTGTCATATTGGTGTTCTCGTTCATACATAAATTCACAAATTTGATAGCTAGAACATAAAAGGAAAACATTCAGTGTACTAAACAGGCAGCTATTTATTAGCTTATTGTTTCAAGAATTTTGTTCAGCATAGAGGTATTTGGAAAATGAATACACAGTAGATGTGAATTATACTGTTAAGTGGAGTTATAAAATTTAAGGGAAATGAGTATCTGCCATTCCTTTATGAAATGCCATGAGAAATTTAAAACACCAGAAGACTTATTTCATTTTCATACTAAAGTCAATGTACAAAAATCTAGACTTGAAAGGCAAAACTTTCACACTTAAGGTTTTGTTATTTGCATAATACATCAATAAGTTAGACTTGGAGAAATGTAAATTTAATAGTCCTATAGGAACTAAGATATAGCTTCAAATCAACTTACAACTCAGCTTTTTCTGCCATACGGATGAGTCGATTCTCTTCAAATTGAACTATGCCTCCAGCTTGCAGCAGTTCTAAAAGAACCTGAACATTTAAAGTGAGTAATAACACTTTGGGAGCAACTTTTATTGACTAGCACTTTATGAGTCTACTCAGCCACATAAACCACAATATTTTTTCTTCTGTCTTGATGCTTTTACATCTTAGAAAAAGATAAACGACTCTGATTTTCAAACATGGAAAGTATGCCACACTGTTTGCAATTAGTTATAATATTGAAATGACCCTCTACTTAGCAAAAACATGTCTATCTGCAGTGAGCCCTCGATAACATGCATTTGAATGCATGGTCACTTATATGCCAATTTTCTTCTAAATAGATGATGTAAACTTACAGTTTCAATAAAAACAGTAGGACACTGTAAATGTATTTTCTCTTATGAGTTTCTTAATAACTTTTCCCCAACTTATATTTTTCTAAGGATATAGTATTTAATTCATATAATATAGCAAATGTGTGCTAGTCAATTGTTTTTGTTATCAGGAAGACTTCTGGGGAAACAGGTAAATATATAGATTTTGACTATCCTAGGATTGGCATCCCTAACTCCTGCAATGTTGAAAAATAAACTATATTCTTCAAAAAGTAAACTTCTGTTTGCTGTTTCATGGTTTTTTAAAATCTGTGGTCACATGTAGCCCCCATGTTTGTTAATTTATCCAATTAGACACTGGGGGTTTCATAGCAGCACTATTCACAAGAGTCAAAGACTGAAAACAACTCAAGTTTCCATCAATGGAAAAAGAGATAAAATATGGTATATTCATATAACAGAAAATTTTCAGCCTTAAAAAAGAAATGATATTCTGACAAATTCCACAAACATGTTTAGTTGAGAAGACACTTACAAATAAAAACATTAGGGTAAGTCAAAAAGTCAGTCACAAAAGGACAACTACTGTTATGATTCCATTTATATAAGAAGTTTAAAGTACTCAAACTTATAAAGACAAAAAGTTGAATGAAAGTTGTCAGGGATTAGTGGAAGGATAGTGGGTATTAATGCTTAATGGGTACAGAGTTTCAGTTTGGGAAGATAAAAACATTCTGGCCATAAAGGTAATGGCAGTTGCACATGAGTGATAATATACATAATGTTATTGAATTGTACACCTTAAAATGATCAATTTTATGGCATACATATTTTACTACAATAAAAAACAAACCCACCAGGATTCATATGATTAATTTTTACCACACTAATCAAGTGATTAAACAAGGTGATGAGAATATCGAAAATAAACTTCAAAAATTGTGAGAGTGGTTACGGGGTCCTATGGAAAGGTCTTCCCTTGTATATAAGTTCAAGGACCAGAATTACCTGACCCTTCTCAAAATTCTAGGAAACCATTTAGCTAAGTATTTTTCTGACACAGGAAATCGATTACTTTAATATCAATTGTGACCCTTGAGAAACTTCCTTCATCAGTTTTTCCTATTTCTAAAATAGGAGGGGGAAAAAAACAGACTGAAAAGTTACAGGGGACTCCCAGAAGACAATATGAGTATACCATGATCACATTTCAAGGTTCAGCTTTTAGGTTGTTTTTATATATCTGGAATGTTCTTATCATTTTACATAGCGATATCGTGTATATCATGATCCACTTTATTGTCAACAAAGAAAAAGGGGCAAACTGAGAGGTCTTCATGACTATTTGTACTCAATATTATTTAAGAGAAAACCAACACTTTAGCAGCTATTCTCTTTTCTAAAATAGTTTACAAAAGTCACTTGGCCACAGCTGTACAGAGAAAGGGGTCACTATTACTATCTTATTTTCTTTAACCGAGTTTCACCCTCCCAGCTGTGCACTGTTGTTGTAAAAAAATGAGCACAGCTCTTCCTTTTGCAGCTTACTTCTCCAACAGTGTAGCTATCAATTTTCAATAGGGTGACCCACTTAACGCTTATCATGATAGTGGGAAAACTTTCTTAAGACTCCTACTTCTGCAAGAGACCCTCAAGAAAGTGGCATAAAAATAGAAAGAAGCAGTAATCAAATAATTCTTCTCTCATAGTGAATAGGAGAGGAACTGACGGATTCTAGTCTCCAGAAATGGTTAGCCTAACACAAAGGGTCTATGGGGAACTCCCAAAAGTTCAGTATCCCAAAATTCAGGATTCTGCTATCTTTCTGGTTCAGGGCCAAAGCAGCTATAAAGGGTTAATGACACTAGTGGGAAGCAGTATACAACAGTTGCTACAAAAAGGAGAAGAGTGAAGTATTCTTTTTGATGTCAAGCTGAATGCAAGACAGCGCCAGTCTGTCCAGGAATTCAGTCTGATAGAAGTTCCTCATATATGTGCTACTACTACAAACCAACCACACTAATTTCTGGTTACCACTATCTAGCTTACAATTAATGTTAGGCACAAGTCATTTTCCCCTATGTCTTCTGAGACCTAGCACAAGGGGTTCTTTTTCTGGCTTACTATGACTTCTTTACAGTTCTTTAGCAAAGAGAGATCTAATAGTTCATACTTGCTGTCTTTCAGAGTGGCGGGAGTCATCGTCAGGACTGCAGAGGAATTCAAGAACCTGGTAAAAAAATAAGTGTTTTAAATTGAATACCAGCATATATGCCATTATACTGTCATAGTAAATAGAACAGTACTGTCCTTTCTACTGATCACAAAGATCTAGAAAGAGCTCACATGACTCAACAAAAACAAAGTTAATAATCCAGTCAAAAAATGGGCAGAAAAGCTAAAAAAGACACATACCCAAAGAGAAAATGTAAATGGCCAACAGGTATATGAAAAGATGTTCAAAATTACTTATAATCAGGGAAATGCAAATCAAAACCACAATGAGATACCGTCTTACACCAGTGAGAATGGCACATATTATAAAAACTAGCAACAACAAATGTTGGTGAGGATGTGGCGAAAAAGGAACTCTCCTACACTGCTGGTGGACATGCAAACTGGTCTAACCACTATGGAAAGCTGTATGGAGGTTTCTCAGTCTACTAAAAATGGAGCTACCATATGACCCAGCAATCCCACTTCTACGGATTTACCCAAAGGACACAAAGTCATTAATACAAAAGGATACCTGTACCCTTATGCTTATTGCAGCACTGTTTACAATAGGTAAGATATGGAAACAACTCAAATGCCCAAAAATAGATGACTGGATCAAGAAAATATGATAGACACACACACACACACAGATATTTTTTTTAAAGATTTATTTATTTATGTATACAGAAATGGGGTAAAGCCAAAGGTGCAGGATGGTGACAGACTTCACCAGAGACTGAGTGGGGAGCAGAACAGGCAGATCGACAAAGTACACTGCTAAGAAGAGCAGCAGGTAGGTCAGGAGAGGTCTGCTATACCATGTGCATCACCTCCAGAGCTGGGGATCGAACTCGCACTGAAGCAGCTGTAGCTAGCTTGCAATGCTGTGCCCTTACCCACTGTGCCACCAGGGAGGGCTCACATATTTAGATATATAGCAATTAAAAAAGATAAAGTCATTCTATTTATAGCAACATGAATGGAGCTAGAGGGATTATGCTCAGCAAAATAAGACAGAACGAAAAAGAAAAATATCAAATAGCTTCATTTATAGGAGAAATACAGGGGAACTACATAAGGGCTCAAGAAAATAATAATAATAAATTTTTAAGATTAGCAGACAACTATAAATCAGAGACATTCTAAAAGGCAGAGGGATCCAGAATGATCAAAACAGGAGGGAAGAGCACAAGGGACTCTGTGGTGGTTCATGGATGAATTGGTAGTGGGAATCTTACAGTGACTACACCTGAGAGGAAAAGTATACCCTGTACAAAAATGAACAATGATGTTGTGTGTGTGTGTGTATATACACACACACATATATAAAAGTGTGTGTGTATATGTATATATGTGTGTGTATATATAATATTATGTGTGTGGGTATTTTAATCTATAACACATAATAAATTCAGAGGGGAAAAAAACCACTAACTACTCTTTCTATATCACCAATTCATTCACAATTGGCCAATTTGGCCACTGTAAATACCACAAATACATGGTATCTTTGCAACTAATTGGCCTAGTATGTGACACAGCTTAATATGAACCTGACACATGTTTCTTTTAGTCATGTTTAGAAACATGACTACAAGTGCTTGATAAATGCTGTTCCTTATTAGCAACTTTCTATGGATAAAAAAATAATTTCTTTGCCGCCCATGGATATGTAGGAAATTATTTAAATGGGATTAGGATACACCTTTAGCATCAAAGTCATTTGCAAGTAAATTCAAATTTTCTAAAAATAATCTCTCCATCAGATGTTAAACACCATAGTCCTATTAGTGAGATAGGACTATCTCAAATGGAAAATTCTTGAGCAGAAAACTCAAGGCAATTTACAGCAACAGAATAATGGAAAGACCAGAATCTCTAAAAATCACTCACCACAAACCATACTCCCATGATACCAAGTTAACAGGCAAAAATCACACTGTTCGACACATCATAGAAGAAATACAAGCAATTGATTTAGATCCATGCTAACACATAAACAGACTTCCTCCTGATAAGATATATACCCAGGGCCTCCCTGGTGGCACAGGGGTTAAAGTCTCAGCTATGAGACTATCTCCAAGCACTGTGGCTAGGCTACTACATATGAAACAGTGTGATCCTATGAAATTTTCTACTGATAATAAACAGAATAAAAACAGTTCTTGTTCTCCTTGTTAAAGACACTTACCTGATCAAAAAGGGTTCTATTTACAAACAAGGTATTGTCAGGTTTTGCAAGCTGCCGAGCAAGGAATGTAAAGAGACACCCAACTTGTGAGGGAGTAAAATCTGAATTCTCCACCATAACCTGATGAACAAGAGAAACCATTTATTGAAGACACCATCTGGTTTGACATACAGAAATACATAATAAGAAGGAAGGAAAGCCTCATTATGAAGACTCATAAAAAAGATTCTTCCATTGATTGTACAACATGAGCTAGTATCATCTGAAGAAGCATAATGACTTGCATACTCTGAAAGGAAAACATTTTAGCAGATTTTAAAATATTCCTAGGTACAACTTGGAGAAGAGGTAGGTAGATTTCAAAGAAATATCAATCATATTTCCTTCTAGAAGTCTTAAAAGAGAATCAAATTGAAATTAAATCAGAGTATACCTAATAAAAATCTGCCCAACAACATAGAAAAAAGGAAGTTACTTTGGTGTTTAAAAGTAAGACAACTTGAGAGTAAAGATATTCCAGAAAAGATTCCATTGGTCAATGAAGCTTCTGCCTTGTATACAGTTTCTTGAATAGATGACTTTATATAACAGGTCCTTAGCTCTTTTAGAACCACACACAAATATCAAGCCCTAATCATTCCTCTGCTGTCTGTGAGTTCTACCATATGTAAGATACTATGGTAGATCCTTTCCTCAAGGGTATTATGAACAAGAAAGCAGTTAAGAAAATCTTATTAAAAAGATTTTACATTATAATGTAATCAGCACTATTTTAAAGGGAGAAATACCATGAAACCATAGTGTAAAAAATTTAGTTGAACTGGATAAAGAGGGAATTTGAAGAAGTGAAAAAATGTAGCTTTTCAACTAAGCTTTAAAATCCATGTGGACCCTCTAACACAGGGAAATGTTAGGAGAGAGGGTAATCAAAGTAGAGAAAAGAGTGTGAGCAAAAACATGGACAGGGCTCAAGGCAGATTGTTCCAAAATGTACCACTTTGGCATAATGATTATTTTGAATTAAAGTTACTTGAGAAACAGCAAGTGCAAGAATGATACTCTGGCATTCTCTGGCCCTGCTAAAAATATGTGAAACATGTGAAAGGTAGTACCCCTGAACCATGAAATAGACATCATTATCACCAGAGATAGGGAATCCAAGGTCAAGAAAGCTGTTTAGTTCTTCACTAGTTAGTGCCTTTGCCTCATGTTTCTTTGTCTTATTAGCTCCTTACAAATTCATTGTTTCTTTGATGAAAAGGTATAAAAACACTTTGTTTGGATCACTGTTTAAGTCCATATCTACACAACCTCTGAAGCAGGAGCAGGTACAAAGTACAACGCAGAGAGCAAGGAGACAGGACACCTCTTCAATTGGGAGGAACCTGTGGCTAAAAGAATAATGCAAATGAGAGCTCTTGAGCCTGTTAAGTAGGAGGATAAAGAAGCCATTGACAAAGAGAAAGAATGTCCAAGTTTGGGAAGGAAGATCATACATTGTTTTGAATTAGCTGAATTTATTGTCACGATACATGTTGTATCTATGCTCATCTTACTGAAAGCTTTCATGTGGATGAGGGAATCCTGTCAAATCTTTTTCCTATATCTACTGTGATTTTTGTGATTTTTATCTTTCCTCTTGCTGTGGTGAATTCCACTGAATGATTTGTGGATGCTGAACCATCCTTGCAACTTTGAAATAAACTCCACATGGTGCTGGAGTATGGTATTTTTAATGTATTACTGAGTTCGGTTTGCTAAGATTCTTGTTGAGAATTTCTGCATCTATGTTCATCAGTTTGTAGTTTGTTTTTTATGTAATGTCTCTGTTTTTAGTACCAAAGTAATGCTGGCCTCTACGTAATGTTTAGTACCAAAATAATGTTATATTTGTGCAGAATTTGAAAGGACTTATATTACATCATCTCTGAAGGTCTAACAGAACTTACTAGTGACATCATGTAGGTTTGAGATTTTGATTTTGGGGACATTGCTAATTTCCTTGTTTGAAACTGATCTTTTAGGTTTTCTATGTCTCATGGATTCAGTATTAGAAGGTTGTGTGAGTGTAAGAATCTTTCTATTTCTTCTAGATTATCATATTTATTGGCATGAAGATGTCTGTATTCATCTCAGGATTCTTTGTATTTCTGTGGTAGATGTTGCAACTTCTTTTCAAAAGTAAATTTAACAAATCAGTATAACTCTATCACCAGAAATGAGAAAATCTCAAAAGTTTGTTCTTCATTAATCCAAGGTAAATACCATCAAAACAATATATAAGAGTAGCAATTCACCAACAGTAATAGTTAAGTACTTCACAGAGACTTTTTTTCCTTTCATTTGGTTACTTCTTCCAAGTTAGTATGGTTTTAAAATAAAATTTCAATTCAATCAACTTGCAGACATTTCTTAAGCATTTACTAGATTGCAGGCATTATGCCAGACATGCTCTGGGAATGTTAAGAAACAAAAAAAATCTTCAATTTCTACCTATAGAAAGCTCAAGGTAGAAAAAAAAATGATGTTAACAACTACCGTACAATATGTCCAGTAAAGCATAAAATGTTGTATGAACACGGAGAAGGAGCAATTAGTCACCCTAGAAATGTGGGAGAAGATTCTAAAGAATTTCTCATGAATGACACTCAAATTACATTTTAGAAAATGGTTAGCTATTTGCCAAGTGGAGGTAAGAAAGAAAAAGGCACGATGGTCTGAAAGAAAACTCAGGAAAAGAACATAAGCTAAAGGGATAACACAGAGTTCAATAAATTCCAATAATTTAATCTGGTAGTGGTAGTCACAATAAAGCTACAGTATGTAGGTGTGGCTGGCGGTAGGGAGTATGAAGGTGCAATGGCAGAGGAGAGGGAGCAGTTACAGAGAAGTAGTCAGGGACTAGAAAGTACAGAAGGATCTTGAATGTCATGTTAAATAGTGTGGATGGGTTTGGTGATAACTAGTACATGTGTACCAACATCTATTCTTCCCTCCTAACTTACCAGCTATCTGGATTATACTGGCACTATTTGGGAGCTTAGAATTCTAATCTCAGATTTATCACTACCTATCTTACAAAGTCAGTATTTAAATAATTAAAATGAGCTAATGTGTATGAAAATGCTTTCAAAATTTTAAAGTACTGTTATCGATGTAATGCATTAATGTTAAGTACACTAAGAAACATTTTAATTCTGACCTCTTGTCCAAAATAATCTAGGAATCATAAAGATGAGGGGAAAAGTCTTCATTTCACAAGCAAATGAACAGGACAAAATTCGACACCTTCTCCTCAAGAAGAAGCTAGCTGGGTATAAGATATGCAGATGGAAAGTAAAAAAGTCTCTCTCCGTATCCAATCATTAGCAACAGTATGAAACTCAAAATAGCTCTGGAATAATCTAGTTAGAATTAGACTGGGTTGCTCATCCCTGTGTGCATCAAATAATTGTAAGTGTCACCTATCATTTTAGTACTATGGTAAAATTATGGCATTACCTTAGCAGCACAATGTGAGGGAGATGCTTCACATTGGTTATTTTCTCAAAGCACTCTATTACTGTGCATTATCATGGAAATATAGCAATTACAATATGCATTTCTCAAGAGCCATATTCTGTATCCTGGTACTGCCTAAAGCTGAGATTTTCTAATTTTTTTTACAAATTTAAATTCTTTTTTGGATGAGTGATTAGTATTTGATTCAGCTTTTGAAGACAAAAATATATAGTATGATTTGAAAATATGCTGGTAACATATTGCTTCATTTAGCAAGAGTAAAGTATTCAATAAGAACAATCTAGTTTTCTTACTATAAACATTAATATAATACAAAGACATGCATTCTTTTGAATACTTACTTTCAACAAAATATCCACAATACGTTGCTGATATTCCACAGCCTGTTTGTCATTTTTAAAATCTTCAAAAGTCTAAAACAGAAATTTAGAAATTATTACTATTTGCAAATTGTAGAAGAAAGTAAGATATTAAATTCTTGTCATTAGTCAGGAACATTGTCAAATAAGATAACCACTCATCATTAGGTGTTTCCTTATACCTTTAATAACAAGATATTTTTAGTGAGTTCAGAGAGATACAGCATTTAATTTTGTACAGGATAAAATGGTATTCTGAGACACTAAAAGTTGGTAAAAGTACAAAAATACAGTGGTTATCATAAGGCCAAAGAGTGACTTAAGGAAGAAAGGCTAAGTTTATAGACAGTGAAAAAGAAAGAACACTAATGGCAAGAGGCAATTTGTGAATATGGGTTTGTTGAAGGGTGAAATGCATGTTATATGCTCAGCTAGCATTCAGTCTAAATTATTTGGAAATGAAAACTGAAATGTAGTTTATTAACTATCATGAAAAGTGATAATTTTCATGATTTCCATGACAACTAAGAAAAATGATGTTCTAAGATAGCTATTTAAAAAAATTATTATGGTAAAACTGTCACAATGTTAAAGTCCTCAAGTCTACTTCCAAGGAAGAAGTATCCTATTTTCAAAATACTGCCACGTACAGTACTTTTCACTTTATGTCCCTGCTCAAATAGAGCCAAATATATTTTGAAGAGAACATGCATCAAAGTAAGTGACAGCACCAGATTCAGAAATACCTATATGAAGGAATTGAAGGCAGTAAAACTGTACTCACTGTCAAGAACCTGAACTAAAATTATTTACTGAGTAAGAATAATGAAAAATTGAAAGGTCTTTCCTATGTTTTTCACTTAGAAATATTTAAATCCACATAGAAATAATTTATTACTTATATCCTGAAATAAGAGAATGGACTATATATCGTACCAACAGATTTTAAAAAAGGGGGGTGAGAGACCTCGGGATACATTTGACAGCCGTGAATTTTCAAGATTACATTATAGTTGTATTCAAAGCAAATACCTGCTGTTCTTTAAATGGTCCCTGAATTTCACCAACTTCCCAGAGTATAACAGCTCATGCTGTTCTCTTATTAGCATGCCCTTGTCTTCCTTTTACCTGGCACACAGTAAGTGCATGAACAAATGACTGCTGAATTGTCTGGTCAATTATTTACCAAGAAAAAGAAAATAACGTCTTTTTGACAACTTTTTCTTCAACTAGATTGCTTTGCTGACAGCTAGTGGAGATATGCTGAAATGAGTTTCCAAGGATAACAAAGATATTCGATCTGGAGGGCTCAAATAAGTTTGTTGATATATGAATGAGTTATATGACCACACCTGAAGACAGAAAGATAAACTAGAAAGTTCCTCACTTCTGTCTTCAAGCTTATGAGAACAAATGTGTATGTACTCAAACAAACACATACCACACCCTCCAGCATCCCAAAGTGACAAGTCACTCTGCAGGCACTATCTACTATGCAACTGCTACTCAACCAAATCACAAAAACAAAGAATTAACATATATATTTAAAAATTCCAGCACTGACAGCAAGTATAAAATAATTTCCTTATCCATTTTCCTTCTGGCAACATGTATTCACTGTTTTAAAAACAATATTAAAAGGTTACCTCTTCTATAAACATAACTAAGTGTTTCTTCTATAAACATAATTAATTCATACAACAGAATGAATATTATGATACACAAAATGACATATTTTGGTGTAGTTAACAGCTGCTGCCAATATGACACAGCCTTGATAAAAACACTACCATTCCACAAAGATGTTTCTAATTATATACTTGTTTGAGAAATAATATGTAATGATATCCTAATGGAAAAAACAATACAATCTGTGGATTTCAGAGGTAAGCCTAAAACTCGTCATCTTTGAATTCAGTTATAAAAAACTTTTTGTAGTCCCTTAAAAATAATTACGGATTGAAAAGGTATGCTATATGTTCTGCTATTAAAAGGAACTGTTGTCATTTGTGACAACATGGTATACAGAAAAACAAACATGGTATACATAAAAAACTTTTTGTAGTCCCTTAAAAATAATTACGGATTGAAAAGGTATGCTATATGTTCTGCTATTAAAAGGAACTGTTGTCATTTGTGACAACATGGTATACAGAAAAACAAAACAAAGGAACTGACAGAATTAAACCAAAACAAACCCTAGAAATATGACAGTGTAATTGAGGCTCTAGTTGGGGAAGGATGTTGGAGAGAGGACATGGAGCTGGGAGTCCAGCAGTCTGTGGTAAAGGACTATGGGTGCTTTGGTGGTTAAGTGTGGGGTAGGGACATCCCAGGTGATGTGACCCTCTTCTCCTAAATCATATACGATGTTGTAAACCAATGTTACCTCAGTCAAAAAAAGACTTTCCTTTTAATTATTATGAGATTTCAGTATAACAATAGCTAGCTCTTGATAGATGCCAAGCCTGAGGTCAACTGGCATTCTATGTAAAAGGTCCGAGAGAAGACCATTTAGGCTTTGTGCCCTACATGCCCTTTGATGCCATCATGCTCTTTAGTTGTTATACCTTTAAAAATGTAAAGCTATTCTTATTTTGTCCAGACCAAAGGCTAAAATTTTTCCATCATACCTAACTGGATTTTCCATCACATCAAAGTCAAAAAGGCCTACCTTTAAGGGGGATTTGCTTCCTGGGATAGCTTTCACATCTCAGTATTCTCACTGTCACTACCTTAATTAAACCATTATCTTATCTCCAAATTACTACAAAAATGTGCCATCAGATCTTCTTGGGCCCAACTTTATTTCAATCTGTTTGTCATATAACTGTAGAAGGAAGGTTTCTAAACTACAAATCATGCTATTCCTCTACTCAATAGCTTCAATTATTACCTACAACTCCAGTATAAAGTACAAACTACTTACCATGTATAATAAGACTCAATCTCCACCTACCTCTTTACATTTCTCTCTCTGCATGCTTTGTTACATTCAAAGAGGCAACTTTAGGGCATTTTTAAAAATTACTTGGACACATATTGTTTGTCTTCTTTCCAGGTCTTTTTATAGTCTGTCCTTCTGCCTAGGATATTTCCCTTCACCTGACTAAATTCTACTCATCCTTTAAGACTTGGTATGGACTTCATTTCAAAGAAACCTTTCCTAGCTCTTCACTGGATTCCTCACCTATGGGTGCTATGAGTAATTGCTACACTGTGCTGCAATTACTCATTATCAGTGGCAGGTCCTGTCAGCCAAGGATGCACTCCCAGTTAGAACAGTATGCATGATATCCTAGGCGGTTGGAGAAAAGAGACTGTACAGCAGTCCTACTCTCAATTCCATTATCATAATTCAGAAGATATCAATGTACTCCAAATGATTTTCAGTGCTACCTCAGCTTGTAAAAAAGGGAAAATTAGGTCAAATTCTTTGTTGTTTCCTACTACACTCCTGAAACCCTGCTATACCACTTCTGTTCTTTAATTCTACAAGCCAGACACCAAGTATCCTTACGTTCTCTGTTGGATGGGCAAGGTCTCCTAAGGCAACTCCATCTGACTTCCAATTCTCAGTTTCTTTTCTCATCTTTCTCTGCATTTAAAGTTACCACTTCTGAAGTTAGACTTTTAAATTAAACCAATTCAAAGCATAATATCACTGGAATTTTAGGCTTCTCAGAGGTACTTCTTTTTATTTAACAGTTTATACTATTATGCAACTTACATAAGTACTATATGTTCAATTAGAGAAATATGATCCTTCACACAGAACTAATCACTATTTAATATTTAAATGTATTTCTCTCCTTTTCTCCAAATATTGTGCATATATAATACTTGTGTTTTACAATTTGGAAGTCTGCTGCTTCATTAAACACTACAATATAAGTACTATCCATGTTATCAGAAGCTTTTTAAAAATTAAGCATAATACTATTAAATTGGGAAGATATGTCATATTTTATAATATTATTCCTCTGGGGCATTTTCATAGAGAACCTGACTCACTCAAATCTGTCTTTAATTAAACATGCATAAAGATGTCTTTTCAGCAGGAAGCTTTGTGTTCCTTATCAACACCAGCTATTTTCACTATCATTACTAAACATCCTTCACAGTTCTCTTCCATATGTGATATACCAACTAATATAATCTATGAAAGTAAAAAATGTACCACATCCAGCCCTGCTTTCTTTAACTTTTTGATAAAGAGGTATTAGAAAGACAGAGAGGGAGAGAGAGAACGTGGAAAGAAAAGCGTAGGGGAGGAAGGAAAGGAAACAAATAATTAGGAAGTGTGAGTGGCACAGCAAAATTAAACATTTGCAGCCTGGACTTACTGCTAAGGCAAAAAAATTATATCTGTTTAATAGGATTATGCTTTGTCTTTTTATTTAAAAAAATAATGACTTGGCTTCTTTTAATACACTTTAAAATAATATTCTCTAACATGGAGCTTCCCTACGACCCAGCAATCCCACTCCTAGGTATCTACCCAAAA